CTCAAAGCATTTCAACTAAAGTCAGTAAAAGACAATAATGTCTGTCACCATTATCACTCAATATTTGGTTGGAGTTTCTAGACAATTAAGATTTCAGAAAAGGAGAGAATTTGTCAAACATTAGAAAAGACAAGATAAAATTATTTTTGTCAATGTCAGAATTATATATCTAAAACTCCCAGGAGACTCTAGTAAAAAAAAAAAACCTGCTAGAATTAATGAGAAGATTTAGTAAACAATATATAATAAATTTATTGAATATAAGTATACAAAACAATAGGTTTTCTCTTTGTTCTAAGATCTTAGAAATGAGAAAAAAAAATCACTCATAATAATGACCAAAAGGTCAACAGTCATAAATTTAATAAGTCAGAACTTAATGAAGAAAATTCAAATCTTAATTTGAGATATTGATAAGATATGTTATTAATAAGATCTGAACAAAATAAGATGTTCTTAGATGGGATGACAATATCATGTCAAACTTCCCAAAATTAACTTTCAGCCCCTGATTGGGTAAAATTGGGATTAATATGTCACAAATTTCAAATGCTTGAGAACAGACAAGAAAGGCAGTAAAAAGAATAGCAGGGACTGGGTGTGGTGGCTCAGACCTGTAATCCCAGCAACTTGGGAGGCTGAGGCAAGAGGATTGTAAATTCAAGGCCAGCCTCAGCAATTTAGTGACTCTCAGCAAGACTCAAACTAAAAAATAAAAAGGATTGGGGGCGGGGGAGAAGCTCAGTAGTAGAGTGTCCCTTGGTTCAACCCCAGTATTCAAAAAAAAAAAAAAAACACAGCAGAGAGTGAGATGAAAAAAGTTCTGCTTTACCATATTATGAAACCATATTATAAAACCACTGTAACTGAATCCATATGAAATTGCCATATAAAAAGTGTAAGTGAAGCATATTGAGAAATAAATCTCATTGTATATGAAACTTTCACATATGAAAAAGTCAGCATTTCATTGGGAAGAGTTTCATTTAAGAAAGGGTGCTGGACTGGCAACCTACTTGGGAAAAATAAAAATTAGATCTATTGCTTACATTTTACAAACATGAAAAATCAAATGCAGTAAAGACTTAATTGTAGAAAATCAATAACAAAAAGATTCTCCCCAAACCAAAAACTACAGATCCATTCTAGTTGACTACACATGATACTCATGAGTGGAGAACTTATTACAGAGTACTTTAAGAGTTTACAAGTTATTGTAAATACTTATACAATATAAAACAATATTAATATGCTTATATACTAATATAAAGTTTTGAATGGCAGAAGGTGTCATAAATACAGTCAACAGAAATATTATATAGAGCTGGAGAAAAAATAGCAAATAATAAAAGAGGTTTACATATACAAAAAGAGTACTTATAAATTAAAAAAAGTGAAACATGGGAAAAATGCTAACAAAATGACAAAAATTAAAATTAATAAAAATTTAGAATGTAAATTTAAACATGCAAATATGCAATTCATTTAAGAGAGAACTGCAAGTGGGTAAATGCTATACGGAAAAGGTACCCGTTAAGGTGGTTAATAAAGAGTTGGAGAATATTTGCGACCAAGAGAAAAAAAGCTTTAACATACATAACATGAAAAAGCTCTTATAAACCAGTTAAATTAAAAAAAAAAAACCCACAAGGGGAACAAAAAAAGAATAAAAATGAGAAATAAACGTACAGGTATAAATATGAATATTGTGGTAGGCAAAAGTCTCAGATGGCTCCCATGAACTTTAACCCTGGTGTTCCTTCCATGACGATGCCACATTACAGGGCAAGGGGACTCCGCAGACATAACTAAGGTTACTAATGAGTCAATCTTCACATATCTGGGTGTGCCTAACCAAGTCACAAGAGCCTTTTTAAAAGCAAAGCGTTTTCTCTGGCTGGTAGCAGAAAAGAAAACAGTCAAAGTATGCAAAGATTTGATAAACCCTTGCTAACTAATTGAAGGAACTACACTTAAGGACCAGAGCATAATCCCAGGAGCTGACTGACAGCCAACATAAAGATAACCTCCATCCTACAACCTTAAGGAGCTTGGAAGTGAATTCTTCACCAAAGCTTTCAGGTAAGAGTCCACTCTGGCAAATACCTTCGTTTCAGCCCTGCTGGGACCTGAGCAGAGAGCTCAATGGAATCCACCTGAAGTTCTAACCTACAGCATTTTGAGATAACAAATGGTTATGTTTTAAGGCCCAAATTTGTGGTAATTTGTTATGTGGTCACAGAACACTACTCACTCATGAGACAATCCAAATGATCAAGTAACATGGAAAGATATCTAGATTTATAGTAGCCAAGAAAGTGGAAATTAAAATAACACTGAGAAATCACTACACTCACCAGGCTTAGGGTTTTTCTTTTTCTTCTTCTTTTAAGTGTTATGGTATCTATTGCCAGTAGGTATAAAGGGAAAAGTGTTTTTTACGCATTTATTGATAGAAATATAAATCTTTCCAGCCTTTTTAGGAAACAATCTGTCAACATGAATTAAAATTTAAATATACATATCCTTGAATCCAGCATTCTACTCCAGGGAATGTACTCCTCAGAAGTAAAACCATCACAATCACAAATATATATATACACAGAAATGCTTATTATAATAGTAAAAACCTAGTAACAAAGGAAATACCCATTAATCTGGAAGAGGTATGATAAATCATGGTATGTCATCACAATAGAGTAATATACAACTATTAAAAAGAACAAAATAAGAACTATAAGACTTAGAAGGATTACCATTATAGATTGTTGAAGGAGAAGTGAGATTCAGAGAATATATAATTCTATTTATTTATAGCACATGGCCCACTAAAAATTATCTAGATTATCTAGATTGTGTATGTGCTAAAAAATGGAAGTGACATATATGCAGACTTATACATACATATATATGTATGTATAATGCTCATGATGAACATTAAATTTTTAAAAAAGCAAGCTGTAGAGTAATACGTAGAATAAGACAGATAAAACCCCTAATGTAATAATTATGTATACATATTTGTATGAACAATTAGAAAGGTACATATTAGGGAGGAATGAAGGGGTAAAGTGGGAGCTATTTTGATGTTATATGCCTTTCATTGTTTTGTGTTGTTTTCAAATTAACTGTATTAATTTAAATTGTCTTACTCTTTTCATTTGTATCACTTTTTTCCCCTTGGGCAGTACTAGGGATTGAACCTAGGGGCACTCTTGAGTGAAATCCCCACCCCTTTTTTTATTTTTGAGACAAGGTCTTGCTAAGTTGTGGAGACTGGCCTCAAACTTGTAATCCTCTTGGCTCAGCCTCCTGAGTAGCTAGGAACATCAGTGTGTGCTATCAGAGAAACATCAAATAAAATTTATTTTTTTCTTCAGCACTTCTTATTAAGATTCCATATATTTTACTTGTCATTTCTCCCAGTAGACCTTTAAGGTATATCAGGTGAAGGCTTCTGTCTGTTCATGACTGACTGCCAGCCCCTAGAATTGTCTGGTGCACAGCAAGCACTCAAATGTAGGAGGACCAGGGAAGGAAGGGATGCCATTAACAGGGTTGAGTGACATTTCCTTCTCTCCTACATGCTCCTTTCAGTTCCCAGATGAGCAGAACATAAGTGTGCAACATGAGAATGTTCCCTTGGGCATTCTGCTGCACCTGCATGTGAGGCCCAAATTCCTTCCCAGTCGGGCATCAGTAGGATCATATCCACAGATCTAAATGCATGTGAGCATTATCTAGGGACTGGCAGGGATTATTTTTCTTTATTTTTGATGATCAGGATAGATGGGCTCTCGGATTACTTACCAACAAATATTTGAATTCTTCCTATAGGCAAAAGGCTGAGAGAGAATAAAAGAAAAACAAACATGGTCCCTGCCTAAAGGAGCTTATAAAGGCAGAAGCAAACAATTGTGAACATTTTGTTAGGTGACAAATGAGTAGTACCTAATATACAAAATCTGATGGTTGAGGATGGAGGAGAGTCAAGACATTCAGCAAAATACTCATTACCTATGCCCCATGCCTTGGGGGAAAAAATCCAAAAGATTTTGAATGATAATATATATACTTTTTTTATACATTGAAGGCACAAAATTGCCTGGATCCACAGTCAAGTTTGAAAGTAAAAGCATTTTTACCTCCACAGAGCCATGATGTTTCTAAAGATAAAGAAGTCTGTTTGTAAACTTGGGTGGGTGGGTGGGGAACACCTGTAATCAGTAAGTAAGTAATCTATAGAAATAAAGGAATTCATTGTCTTGCTTGTTGAAAAGAATGACCTTGGGAGTATAGGTGTCTCTTCAATATGGTGATTTCATTTCCTTCAGGTATATATACCCAGTGGTGGGTTTGCTGAATCATACATTACTTGTTTTAATTTTCTGAAGAACCTCCATAACATTTTCCATAATGGCTGTACTAACTTACAATCCCAACAGTATGTAAGAGTTCCTCTTTCTCCACATTTTGACCAGCACAATGGGATACTATTCAATCACAAAAAAGCATGAAATCCTGTTATTTGCAATAGCATAGATGGACCTGGAGAACATTAAGTTAAAGGAGGTAAATCCGGCACAGAAAGACTAACACTGCATGCTCTCATTCATGTGGAATCTAAAAAAGTTGATTTCACAGAAGTTAAGAGAAGAACAGCGTACCAGACCTGGGGAGAGTAGGGGGAAGATGAGGAGAGGTTAGCCAACAGGTCACTGTTAGATTTATATAAGAGGCTAAGGTCTGGTGTTCTATGGCACAGCAGGATGAATATGATTAACAATGATGATCACTCTCTCTCAAAATAGGAGAGAATTTGGAATGTATTCACCATAAAGAAATAAATTTAAAGTGGTAGATATATTGGATAATGATTGGTTCAGGGTGATTAGTATATGTGTAAACTATACCTCATAAGCATGTACAAATAACATGTGCATAATTAAAAAAATTTTTTTAATTAAAAAAGGTGGGATTTTTTTTGTGGGTGCGCGCGCGTGCGCGCGCGCGTGTGTGTGTGTGTGTGTGTGCGCGCGCGCATCAAATCTATGGGTACTCTTCCTCTGAGCTACATCCTTGGTCCCTTTTAAACTTTTATTTTTGAGTTTGGGTCTCACAATCCTCCTTGTCTCAGCCTTCTGAGCTACTGGGATTACAGGTGTGTGTCACTGTGCCCAGATTGGAGCTGTTTGCTTTTTGAGGTCAAAAGTGATCATCTTTCCAGTCTACTTGAGGAGAAATGGAAGACAATGTGGCCCAGTTTACAGGGCTAGCTTCTTTTTCAGTTTGGTGTAGTACTTATTTTCACAACTTCACCCAAGTTATTTAGCACCCAAAGTAAACTTTCTGATGAAATGACTTTTGCTCTAGAAGAAGTTATCTTTATGTATGAAAAATTACAGTCTTGTTCCCAATTCCATAGGAAGGAGTAGTTGAAAGTCTATATAAATTAACATTTCAGCACATTATATAAAATCTATAAGCTTATTTCTACAATTCATGATTAATGTAAAGTTTGCTTTCTGTGCAAACTTTTTTTAATGTTTCCAGTTTTAGAATTCTTATTTGTGAGTGATTTTTGAGTTTTCCTACCACTATCCTTAATTTGATGATTCTATTACCTATCTTTGGTTTGAGATAATAGATTAGTAATCTGGAACATAACACTGGATCTTACGAGGGCAGGAAAAAAAATATGGCACATGAATTAATAATACCAATTCTAGTACGCCAAGTGCTAGTTAACATGTCTAACTGTGGGATGTTCTTTACACTACTGGGCTAATTAGCTTCCTAAAGAAGTACACAGGAAAACTCAATGTGGAGTTAGCATCTAGACCAGTCTCTCCCATGTAAGGTAGGTGACTAATTACCAAGGATGAGAGAATTTTCTATGAAATAGTAGGATATTGCAGATTCTGCTCTCAAATAACCTGATCCTTCTTCAAGTTTGAAGCCATTTTTAATCTAATATCAATCAGTCTAATATCAACTAATCTAATATCAATCAGTCTAATATCAACTAAGACTAAGGGTGAGCAGAGTTTTTGTAGGAGTTAAGCGATACTTAAAGTGAGTCATTTTCTCTTTGGCACATTTTTGGATTGTTTGGTTTTGCAAGTACAAAGAATGTACAAAATTAAAGTTTCTATCCCGAAGGGCCAGAAGAGTAGTTCAGTGGTAGAGTGCTTGCCTGTGTACAAGGCCCTGAATTCATTCCCAATACTGAAAAAAAAAAAAAAATTCTGTTCCGGAAAATATGGATTCCAATTTTTTGAATCTGAGAGCTCTATGTCAGTGTATCTTTATAGAAAACTGAATGTCCTAGTCATTGGAACTGAGAAGTTAATAAGTGGAGGATGCTTTGTGATTGTGGGGTCTGTATTAAAGGGTATGCCAAACTTTCAAATGTTTCTGGGAGTATGTTAAGTCCTAGGACAATGCTGAGACCCTTCAAAAACCCAGTGGTCTCGTGAAACTCAAGGTCAGACTTCTACTCTAACACTAGACTAACCCCAAAGAGTTCATCCATCAATTCATATGTAACTTTGAGTCCTTCTGACCATGTGAATTAGATTATTTCAAAATTACTCCAGCAAATAACGTCTCAGTTTTCATTAAAAAGGACGTTTCCGATACTACTGAAAAAATATGTGTATATACTGAAGGATATAATACTTGCTACTGCAACAGCATGCAGAACACAAAGAGTAGTTTCAAAAATACCAGAACAGGTACATTTTAGATTCCATATTTGTATTGTGGCTCTAGATTACAACAAAGACAACTTGAGTTCTAGACAAGCAAAGCTTTTGAATAGTAATGATCCAAAGGGGCAGAGGGCAAGGAAGTCCTGGTTGTCTGTCAAGAAACCAAGCCAAAAAAAAAAAAAAAAAAAATTTATATATATAGGTGTATAATTAAAAAATTATTTAACACTTGAAAATCACAAAACCTATTTGTTAAATATACATATATCCCTCAAAGTATCACTGACCCAATCTTAAGAGATAATTTGACTGTCTTTCTAAAGCCTCAAATTCTCTAATGATAAATTTCTCCATCTTTCTTGCAATCAATAACTAAGACTGTTTCATTACTTTGGATTCATATTTACTTTATCTTATACCCTTTTGGCTTCTCTGCACCCTTCTAATACCTCTTCAATAAAAACCCCAAATTAGATTGTATTAAAGCATTTTAACTGATTGCAAAGTCAAAGCTAGATTTCAAATCTGACAAATATTCCAATTCATGAGACACCTATAGCATATTATCTATATTTGTACATTTTATTTAAAAACAAATAATACACTTAGAGCCACCAAAAATGGATTATCATCATTAGCTTATCCATACCCTGAATTTACAAAAGAAACTTTTTGCACCACAAAAATTAGCATTTGGATTAATTTACATTAATTGATACTTTAACTAAAATTTAAAATACCTGAAGATCAAACAATTAGGCCCAGGGCTCACCAGTTGGGGGCTTAGGTGTGGAGAGCAAGGGTTACTCAGGAAACTGAACTGATGATACCCTGAGATCAGCTCTAGTAAACTAAAGTTGAGAAGACATAAAATAACCATTAGACTTAGTATTACAAAGAAGTGGTTCCTCCTAAAAACAGGAATTGGATCATATAGTTGGGATGGGTATGGGGATACCTCCTAATCTGGACTGAAAAAAGTGAGTGGAGAAGGGGGGGTTGTATTTGTTTATTCACAAGAGGCCAACTTCAGCCCAACAATGAGGAGAAAGCAGGGAAGGGAGTATGTGGCAGACCAAAGACTTTCTCATGCTGATGATACCAAATTTAGCAGCTCTCCACAAGTCAATTATAACACCATTCTCTGAGACATTTTCGAAGAGAGCTAACACTCAACAAGGGGAAAAATCATTCTACATTAACAAGGCACTCACTGGTTCACAGCCTGTTAAAAAATGCAGGCAGACATTAATCTCAATTAAAATGAACCTTCTAATTTGCATCAGAGGGATGACAAGTTTGTGGTCCCAGTTAAGTCAAATCTAAAACTTGACTAGTAAAGATCCAGAAAACTCCAACCTCTCTGGCACCACTTGAGGAATACTGCTAGAATAAATGGGTGGAATCTAGGGGTTTCTTTTGGTCTAACATTCACTTTTTTTAATTATAAAAATAAAAGTGATGTTAAGGATCTGTTAAATACTTTGTCAACATGAAATTCCTTATACTGATATGGAGATCCAGTTGGATGACAAATATGGCCTATTAAAAGCTTTTAGTGGCAAAAATAAAAATGATTCAAATAAAGTACTATGACCTATTCTTTGTTTTTAAACACAGATATGTTAGTTTCTGGATCTTCCCCAAAAATGGATTTTAGGAATTAATACATTTCACAAAAATATACATATTTCGATCAGCTACTATTTTTGTACAACCAGAATCCCAGTGTCGAACACTCAAAGTACTGCAATTACATACAAAAACAAGTAACATAGCAGTTAGAGGCAACTTCTGAGTAAATAAAATGAAGGATAATGTACTTAATAGTTTGGAAACAGCTTTCAAAGAATAAAGGAAGCTGAATAAAATTACATTTAGGACTCTTTTCATGTAAATTCAATAACAATTTTGTCTTTTGGTTGAAAACATCACACAGACATACACAACCAGAGATAACCTCCACTCACAACACTGATGGTTAATTTTAAGCTATTCTTTCAAAGGAAAACTAAGAGTGATTCTAAACCTTTCAATCTGATTTGTGACAATACAACTTAAATGATAAAGCCTGAGAAAAGCACCAACATGATTTTTAAATTGCATCTAACTATCATTTCAGATGTCATAAAAATTTGCTTTAGTTAAAATGGCAGCAACAACGAGGTAGATATGAGAGATGCCATTTAAATTCTTCAAGACAATTCTCAGGTGGAGTTTTAACTAGTTCAGGTGTTTAAAAATAATTTTTACTATCTGAATCTGAATCATGTAACAATTTCATGACATGCTTTTATGTAAGGGGAAACACATGAAGTACTAAAACAGCAAGCCTTTAAAAAAATTAAACATTAATGAGATCCCCTAATTTTGGTGAACCAAAAACTTTTCTTTTACCTGAACTTGACTATGATTAAAGAGTAGATATTTATTCTCTTACTAAAATTTCTAGGAATTCACATTCAAAATTCTTGAAAGTACATAAGGTGCTCGGAAGAGCACAAAGACAGCGCATGAAATGTCCCCTGAAGTCCTAGAGGTTGAGCATTACATTAAAAAAGACACTGATGGTCACAAATCAGGACCTTCACAGATTGACAAACACACACTCTCTCTCACTGTCCCCCCACCCCCACCCCCTTACACAAACTCAATCTTCATCCTCACTGTAAGGCTGCATTTGTATATATATATATTTTAAAGGCACCTCTCATTTTCTAACTATTGCCTTCTTGATGATGTATATTTTGTTAAAAAGCCTGAATGTTCATTGGAAATAGTTCAGTACTGAGAATGGAATATTTTTCAATTCACATTTGAATAGCCAGGTTTTCTTACATTCAGATTTTAATAAACTAGAATGACAGTCTTCAAAACAAGCATGCTAGCCTATAATTAATATAGAATATACAGTAATTTAAACATTTAGAACTATATATTATACTGCAAAAGCAAATAGCACAACACTCATCATAATCTGCTGTTACACTACCTCCAAAAATGAAAATAAAAAACAGTAAAATGCACCTATGGTTTATATTTATATATATATATATATAGTCTATATATTATATATATTCACACAATATATATAATATATATTTATAAAATATACATACATTTTAGATATTTTCAAATAAATCTTCATCATTATCTCCAAAACAAATTTATAGCAAGAATACTGAAGGAATGAAAGTCAGATAATCAGATAAACAAAAATTTTTCACAAAGTTCATTATCAGTGATGCAGATCGATTTCCCCCTTTTAGTCATAACTAAAATGATTATAAAAGCTAAATACTTTGCATAACTAATTATCTGTTTAATGGCAAAAACTGCTAAACTTGTTCAATAGAAAAATACTGAAGGTTATTATATCACTTATGTTAAATATTTGTCTATAGTCTGAGCAGCAAATGAGCTCCATGTGACAGCTGAGTTTTGAAAAGGGTACTGCAAGCTCCCAGAGATGTATCCACAGCATAATGAAAATAAGGCAGGGACCCTACCACCTGCTGATTTTCATACTATTCCAATACATTTCATCCAAAATATTTACAAATCAACCATTATAAAAGCATTTCAATGACTGAATCTTGAATTTGTTCATTTTGTGAATTTCTATTAAATTTTCAATAGGCTGGGGGGAAAAGTCAAATACATGCATATGCTACCAGCTCACTGGACGATAGCTTAGGTTCCTTTCTAAGTTGAGATCTTACAATGCAAGGGTAGAAAAATCTCTTTTTATATGGAGTATCCAATGGCACAGGACTGGCTTCCTAAGGAAATTCCAGTAGATCCATTATTTGCATTACAGTTTGCATATCTCATGGTTAATTTTCACTAACAGAAAAACTTCAACCATGAGGCATAAAATGAATTAAAAAAAAAGTGTCTTGGTTTACAGAATTTCAGTGATACAAGTAAAGCAGGCACTCAAGACCTTGGAAGGTAATTAAAGCAATAACTAGTGGAACAATAGCTTTGCAGTCATCAATCATAAATATACCATGTAAGGGCACCTGGCTGGATTTTTCCAGTATTCTACAAATGTTAAGTTAGCAACACCCTTTCTTCACTTTGTGAACAATCCAATTTACAAAACACAATGTAGAATTTTATATTTTCATGGAAAGATAAGCATTCATCTGGTAGCTTATTTCTAGGTCAATTCACTCGATTGTACAAAAAAGTCTCTTAAACCTACATGTTAACCAAAGCACAGAGATGAAAAAGAAGCTGTATCAAAATACTATAGCATGACCATGTAACAATCAGGCAAATAGCACAGGTCTTATAACTTTAATGAAAATTTGCCTGTATATTACAAAATTCTAGATGCAGATAAGCAGAAAATTTTTTAAAAAGTATTGTCAATTATTGTCCACATTACCACAAGGTTTCTGCTTTGAAAAATGTACACATCAGAAGATTGCTATTATAATGAAATATATGGGGATAGAAATGTAGGAATTGTGATTATTATTATTTTGGTAATGAGGATCAAACCCAGAGGCATTTTACCACTGAAGGATATCCCCAGCCCTTTTTTATTAAGATAGCATCTCACTAAACTGCTGAGGCTGGCCTCGAACTTTCCTACCTTAGTTTTCCAAACTGCTGGGATTACAGGTAAGCATGATGGTGCCTAGCTGAAATATAGGAACTATTTTAATAGGTTAAAATATTTATGGATACACATACACACACATATGTATATGTATTAATATATAAAAGACTGATAGTCTACTGGATATACATTTTGGTTAGACATTAATAATTTATTTTACTCTCTGGATTGATCTCTGTCATTTGGGGCAAATAAGAAAAAAGTATGAAGAGCATGACAAGTTTAGGGAAAGGTTCTGCATGGTAGGGCACTAGTTCCAGATAGTAGGGTAGTAGGAATCTCAAAAGTTGACCACATGTGGGTCACAAGTAAAGTGGGCTCAGGGAAACCCAGTCTCTTAAGACATGGTTTTCCCAGGGAACAATACCGATTCACTGTGCATTAAAAAGTGCATTCCAATTAAACAAGGGGGAGGAGCAGGGAGAGAGGATCTTTTGGTCAACATGTGGCATAAAATCTTCCACTCAGATTTCCAAGAGGTGGTTCTTCTCAGAGATACTAATAGAGAAATTATGCGAGTACGTTTGCTTTACTTAACTGCTCTGAAAGCAGCTGCCTGAAGTTAACCATATTCTCTGGACTATGAAAACATAATAATTATGAACTATTTTTGGTAAGTGTCAGCATGAATGTGAGAGACAAGAAAGAAAAAGCATAGATCATCTGAAGCATGGTTATGTGGCTATTGACAAATGAATACGAGCAAATAACTTCCATGTTTTTCAATCACTGGTAGATTTCATCAATATGAGATAATCACTCTGGTACTATTAAATATCACATGAGTAAGGTGAATTTTAAAATAGAAATTATTATACAGCTATGCCCTGTTTGCCCTTAAAAATAACAGAATCTCAAACCTGAATAAGTTAATCCTTTAGTAAAAGCAAACTCTATCAACTATCTTTATAATGGTGAGTGCTTGACAGCTAAACTTTACAACGGTACCAAATCTACTTTCAAAACTGTAATACAATATAAAAATCTGCTTGCAAAGTAAAATTGTTTAGCATTTCTGAATAATAATATAATTAACATATTATTGCATCTTTCCCCCCGATAGGTAAAATGCTTTATCACGTGCTTTATGCAAGCAGCTGAAGAAGAGCTAAATTAAAAATTCCTTTTAACACTGTCTGGTCATTATACACAACAGGGTTAGCACAGCAGATATAGTAAGATTAATGTTTTGATTACCTAATGTGTTTAATAAGATTTCTCAGGGGAGAAGTAGGTCCAAGTTTCCATTCTTTTATTCCTTCCCAGCCATCCAGCTTTTAATTATCCCTTATAGCATGCCCTATTTACTCAATAGGGATAAGCTAAATCTATCTTCGCTCAGGCCTGCCTAGCGAATTAGAACAACTTCAGAAATAAAAGCGCATCTTTGGGGGAAATTTTGAAAGAGTTTACAGGCTCAAAGATTCAGCTGAGCTTGCAGCAACCTGAACAAACCTTAATTTTAGAAAACAGTATACGAATTGCAAAACTATACTTTAACAAATGTTCTCTGTGCTCCTTCAGCAGAACGAAAGGGCATGATGAGTTGATTCTTGCCCTGGTCTTCTGTATGTATCTTTTTTTTTTTTGTGCAGCTGATTATTAATAAAGAGCTAGACGTGAAGATGATGCATGGTGTCATACAAAGACTTTAGCCAGGGCATCAGCTCCAGCACTGGCTATATAGCATTTGGATGGATGGAAAGCTACATCATGAATGGATTCTTCAAATTTTTTCCGATGAGCTGTGAATTCTTGTATACACGTCTTACTTTCTAGATTCCATAAACGTATTGAACAGTCATGACCTATACCAAAGGAAAGGAAATTGAAAGGAAAGATTATATTAACATGAAAATGATAAGAACAAGTTAAATAATCTATATTTGATGTACTTACTGCCAGACATCAAGTATAGTCCATTAGGATCAACTGCTAAACTTGTAACAGCTTCTAGGTGGGCTACCATCGAGTGGATCAGTTTGCCTTTGGAAAAAGAAATGGTTACTCTTTATAGATGATTTTCCTCATCTTTCACATACTCTAGCTATCATGTTATACTGGTTCCTCCAATTATCCCTCTCTGGGTCCTTACTATATAAACAACTTTTCCGTCAGCTAAAACCACATGTTCCTCTACTTCCTCTAATCATTATTATGTTGAGGGGAAAAAAGCAGCTCAAATTTCAGACTATATTTTTTTTCTTTTAAACCACAAAAGGGAACTCATTAATTTCTATGTGTTCATTAATTAGAACTTAGACATTATTAATCACTTATTTGCATCCCTTAGCTATAGAAAAATTATATGGGCATATGGGAACAGATAATTCAAATTCAGAGAGAAGAATGAAACTGAGACAAACCAAAAGAAAACATGGCCATAATTCCTGTGAAAACAACATACAGAAAAGAATTAAGAACAGTAAATTACTCATCACTAGCAGCTAAACCCAGTCGGTAAAAGTCACTATGTTAGCAAGGTCAACAGCACATAGGGAAATATGGCTGCTAATAAAGAGTATTTTCCTCCAAGCACAGCTCCTCGTAAATTTCCTTTACACTGGTGAAATGTAATCCAATAAAAACTGGAAAAGCCTCATGTTCCAATTCAAATTAATCAGGACCAAAATTTTATTATAACACAGAAAAGATCAGTCTATGGAAAAATAAATAAAACAAACTAAATGATTTGTAGGGTTTCCATCAGCAACACTGAATAGTGCAACCCAATAACTTAGTAACTGAATACTGAATAAGGCTGTTCAATAATTGAACAATTTTAAATAAAATACAATAATCTTTTCAATATTTATTTTTCAATTGCAGTTGGACACAATATCTTTATTTATTTATTTATTTTTATGTGGTACCGAGGATCGAACCCAGGGCCTCACACATGCTAGACGAGTGCTCTACTGCTGAGCCACAACCTCAGCCCCAAATACAATAATCTAATGTCTCTACTTTCGACACATTTCTCCATTTCCCTCATCTATTACAACATATCACAGCAACAGATGATTTTTTACTGATTTTGAATGAACATTTTATTATGTTCTTAGTGATCATTGGCTCTAGGTCGTAAATATACCATTTACTCACTGTTAAACCAACCAAAGTGATTCTAAATTGAATAAAGACTGACTGGTTTTAGAGCATCTGAATGGACTGAACAGAAACTGAACAAGGAGAGCATTTGTTGTAGTACCTAGTCCCTGACTATGCAGCCACCAAGAGAAGTCTCAATTAGCCTATTTTAGTAGAGATAGTTTTCATGAAAATTCTTACCTGTATTGTTATCATAGAATTTGATATGCCTGTCTTCATGAGCAGTGATGCTGATTGGAAGAGTGGGATGACTGATGACTCTATTTATTTGGCAGGAAGAGTTGGCTGCTTAAAAGGAAAAAGAGCAACACGAACTAGTCAAGACCAAGAAGAACTGAATACTCACCAAAGAGGCTGAAAAAGAAAATAGTATAACCTTAGTTTGTTTTTAGTTCACTTTTCTCTATTTCCATAATTTCAATGTTAAAAACTGATTGAGCTACACTTTAATGACATATCTAGAGGCACCTAAGAATTAGAATTTTCTTCTCCACTACCTGATGTCTATGGGTGCCACCTACAACTTAGCCTAGAATTACTGATACTTCTCATTCTACATTGTTCTGTGATATTTTTGCTACTTTAAAATAAAGTTTCATCATTACTTGCATGTAGATAATCCTTAAATTTAAATTTCATCCTTTTTATATACAAAGCTCCTTTATCATATAGTTGTCATCTAAAGATAAACATGACAAAGAGAGCTTCTTAATCCTTAAATCTTCTCTTCTTGAGTTGTCTTCATCATCATAAGAATGGTTATAATTTGACACTATGGACCACACCAGGTTTGGAATTTTGAAGTAGCACTGTAACATCCTAACAGTATTTTTTGTGCACTATTTAATATTAAGAGTTTTCGAAGATATTTCAATTATATGCCCAATGAGACAGGCAGATCATACAATATTAGGCCCATATCAGTAAATACACCAAGATCCAAAATGAGTTGTGATTACCCTAACATCAGGTGACAAAACCAGAACCTAGTCTAATGTCTAACTCTATTCCAATTATACAAATCAGGTGACTGCCAAAACTGGTTCCTGAGCAATCTAAATTGCTCTGAAAGTCTTTTATCAGACGGGAATTAATAACTAGGAAGAAATTAAGTTTTATTAGTGTGTTTTTTAAAAAAAATATCTTTATTTATTTATTTTTATGTGGTGCTGAGGCACGAACACAGTGCCTCACACATGCGAGGAAAGCGCTCTACCACTGAGCTATATTCCCTGCCCTAATTAGTGGTTTTTATTAGTATTTTTAATAAGGAAAAAAGAAAAATTGACATGAAGATACCATAAAATTAAGCTATGTCATTATCATTATATCACCATCCAGGGAAAGGAAGGAGGTATCCTAATAAAAAACATTATTGGGACAATTGGCAAAATTCCATAACTCAAATGGAACAGAATTCTGTCAACTTTAAATTTCCTAATTTGAATCACTGTAATGTTCTATGTCAGAGAGTGCCCATGTTCTCAGCACCCATTCATGTTAAAAACACTGGAGAAGCTAGGGATCAAAGGAACTTAACATTATAAAGGCAACTTGTGACAAACCCAACAACAACATCATACTGAATGAAGAAAAACTAAAAGTATTTCCTCTAAAATCAGAAATAAGACAAAGCTGTCCACTCTTATCACTTCTATTCAATATAGTCCTTGAAACATTAACCAGACATCATGCAAGAAAAGGAAATCAAAGGGATACAAATAAGGAAAAAAGAAGTCAAACTATCTGTTTGCTGATGACAAGATCCTTTATTTAGAAGACCCCAAAAAACTCCACCAGAAGACTTCTAGAGCTTCTAAATGAGCTTAGCAAAATAGCAGGATACAAGATAAACGTCTATAAATCAACAGCTTTGCTGTATTCCAAAAGCTGAGGAAGAAATCAAGAAAAACCATCCATTCACAATAACCTTAAAAAAAAAAAAAGTACTTTGGAATTAGTCTAACCAAGGAGGCAAGAGAGAACCCTGAAGAAAGAAATTGAAGAAGACCTTAGAAGATGGAAAGAATTTCTATATTTTGGGACAGGGAGAATTAATATTGTCAACATGGCCATCCTACCAAAAGTAATATACAAATTCAATGCAATCTCCACTGAAACACCAATGACGTTCTTCTGAAAAATTAGAACAAACAATTCTTAAATTTATTTGGAAGAATAAGAGACCCAGAATAGCCAAAGCACTACTAAGCAAGAAAAGCGAAGCAGGAGGCATCACAATACCTGATGTGAAAATACACTAACTATAGAGCTGTTGTTAACCAAAACAGCATGGTATTGGCATCAAAATAGACATGAGGGCTGGGGTTATAGCACATGTAAGGCACTGGGTTCGATCCTCAGCACCACATAAAAACAAATAAAATAAAGATATCGTGTCTATCTACAATTTTAAAAAAATAAAGTTTATTAAAAAATAGACATGAAGACCAATGAAACAGAATAAAAGACACAGAGAAAAATCCACATACCTACGGCTATCTTATATCCGACAAAGGTGCCAAAAATATATTTTATAGAAAAGGTAGCCTTTTTAACAAATGGTGCTAGGAAAACTAGATAGCTATCTGTAGAAAAATAAAACTAGACCCCCATCTCTCACCCTGAACAAAACTGAAATTGAAATGGATCAAAGACTTAGGAATAGATAAGAAAGCTTGCAACTGCTAGAAGAAAACACAGGGTTAACAATCCATAATATAGGTACTGACAATGATTTCCTTAACAACCCCCCCCCCCCAAAGAACAAGAAACAAAAATCAATAAGCAAGATGACATCAAAGTAAAAAGCTTCTGCACAGCAAAGGAAATGATTAAGAATGAAGAGAGATGGACATGGTGGCACACCACTATAATCTCAGTGGCTTGGGAAGCTGAGGCAAGAGGACCACCAATTCAAAGCCAGCCTCAGCAAAACCAAGGTGCTAAGCAACTCAGTGAGACACTGTCTCTAAATAAAATACAAAAACAGGGCTGGGGATGTGGCTCAGTGGTCAAGTGCCTCAGTGGCCCAGTACCCCAGTCACCCCCAACCAAAAAAAAAAAAAAAAAAAGAGTATGAAGAGCGAGCCTGCAGAATAGAAGAAAATCTTGGTCAGCTACTCCTCTGATAGGATAGTAATATCCAGAATACAGAAAGAACTCAAAAAACACCAAAAAACTCCCCAAATAACCCAATCAATAAATGGGCAAAAGAACTAAACAAAAACTTCTCCAAAGAAACACAAATGGACAACAAATATATGAAGAAATGTTCAACTTCTCTAGCAATCAGGGATGCGCAAATCAAAACTACACTAATATTTCATCTTACTCCAGTCAGAATGGAAATGATCGAGAATACAAACAATAACAAATGCTGGTGAGACTGTGGGGGGAAAAGGTACTCTTGTACATTGTTGATGGGGCTGCAGACTAGTACAAGCCCTCTGGAAAGGAGTATGGAGATTCCTCAAAAATCTAGGGATGGAACCACCATATAATCCGGCTATACCACTTCTCGGTATTTTCCCAAAAGGTTTAAAATTGATATACCGTATACAGCTGTACAACTCACAATAATTAAACTATGGAATGAATACAGGTACCCATCAATAGATGCATGGATTAAGAAATAGTGGCATATATATAAACACATACAAACGAGTTCTACTTAGCCATAAAAAAGAATAAAATTATAAATTTGCCAATAAATAGATAGAAATGAAGAATATCATGCTAAGTGAAATAAGACAAACTCAGAAACCCAAAGGTCAAATGTTTTCTCTCATATGTGGAAAGTAGAGTAAAATAAATGAAAAGGGAGGAAAGTATAGGATATCATAAAGGGAAGATCTCAATAATGTAGAAGGAGGAGATTGAGAGGCAGAGTGGAAGGACAGGTAGGGGGAGGCAATAAAGAATTAAAAAAATCATGTTATATGCATATATAAATATATATACAACAGGAAACTTCACCCTTTACATGAAAGAAAAAGAACCAATCAAAAATAAATAATGAGCAAAGGGAAGTCTAGTAGAGGAAGGAGAATGGGGCAGGGGAGGGAAGATGGGTGAGAAAAGGGCAAGGGAAAAGTGGGGGCTCATGAACTGAAATTGAATTCCATGCATTTGAGTTTTTCGGGATGAATCCACCAACTATGCATAACTATAAAGCTCTATATAAATAATAAATATATATGTATACACACATAATTACTTCAAAATAAAGAGTTTAAAAATATAAATCTTAAAACAGTTACTATAAATTTATGTTTACATAATGGAAAATATAGCTAAAAAACAGTATACTCTTACTGAATTTTCACGTGGTTTCTAGAAATATAACATCTTAAAAAGTGAAGATGAATATTGTCAAATACAGTACAAAAATGTTATTTGTCTACATTGAATGTAAAGAGATGCTTAGTTTCAAATTCAGATTGTGGATTTTTTTCTTCCAGAGATAATGCACCATTGAGCAATACTTTTTAATGTTTGGCAGAACAAAAACAATAACAAAAATACTTTAATTGAAATATCTCATATATTTTGAGACAGAAGGTAGAAAACAGCTTTAAGTACTTTGAAAGGTAAAAAATAAATATGGTGGAAATCAAATAATGGAAGCAAGCAAAATAAAGTTCTTACTTGATAATAATTTTAAGGAAGTTCCTCCATTTTAGAGTAAATCAGAGAAGCAGGCAAGATGCAAAGAACATCAGAATATTTGAAGGCTTAGCAGCCATTCTAAAAATGAATCTAAAACAATGCTCCACATATTCATATTTAGCTTGCAATTTAGAAATGATTTACTTTTTTTTTTTAGTTGGATATGGACATCATGCCTTTATTTTGTTTATTTTTCTGTGGTGCTAAGGATTGAAGCCAAGGCCTCACATGTGCTAGGCAAGCGCTCTGCCACTGAGCCACAACCACAGCCCAATGATTCACCTTTTTACTGGGTTCACAAGTTACCTTTTACCTATACCACCTACCTCTGACTTTATCACAGTCTAATTACCATTGACATCAATTGGAAGAGAGGTACTTTATTGTAACAACAAATATCCTTCATCATTTTAAACTCAATATGAAATTCATTTTCACCTTGAAGCATATTTGGTTTTTAATTTTTTTAAAAGACTACTAAATTCCAAAGTAGAACAACATAATCAACTATAAATCACAAAGAAATAGTCCACAGTAGAAAGGAACGAAAGATTAATTTAATTTAGTGTGTTTTATACAACTCTAAAAGTACCAAAACTGGTAATTTAAGAAATGCCAGGGCATATTATAAATTTAAAAACTATCACTAATTTCAATAATATTGCTTTTGTTAAAGACGTTCTTGGCAGTCTTCTTCCAAAAATGTTTCCAGCACCAGGCAAAATGTCTTATTACTTTATGGTCACACTTCTTGGAGGGGGAAAAAAAAAGAGATAATCTTATTCACCAGATTTTAACAACTGGTAGTAGTCATTAAACATCAACATTTGCCACTCAGGAATTTTTTAAAAAATATATAAATATATATACAACATATCCAAAGTATATGTATGAAGACACAAATTGATGTAAACATACTTTGTAGACAACCAGAGATATGAAAAATTGTGCTCTATATGTGTAATAAAAATTGTAATACATTCCGCTGTCATATATAAATTTTAAAAAAATAGCTACAATTTCTGAAAGTAATTTTAAAAATGCTCACATCCTTCCTAATTTAATGTTGTTGGTTTTTTTTAAATTTTACTGTGCTTCATTCACATATTTAAATATGACTTAAATTTACTTAAAGTCTGTGGGTGCAGTTGCACACTAACTATAATCTCAACAACTCAGGAGGCTTCGGCAGAAAGACTGCAAGTTTAAGGCCAGCCTCAGCAACTTAAACAAACCCTGTCTCTAAAGAAAAAGAGGGTTGGGGATGTAGTTCAATGGTAGAGCACTTCTAAATTAAATCCCTAGTCCCTATAATAAGCTAAAAATTAATTAATGCAAAGTCTAAAATCTGTAATTCGTGACAAAAGAGTTATTTTTACAATTCCATAATCTAGATTTTTATTTTCTTATCTTTCTTTTTTATGTCCAAATAGCTCAAAGTTCTACTCAAGTCAACTTCTCCAAATAATTCTCATAGCCTATCAGAAAAAAAAAAAAAAAAACAAAGAATAACAGATTAGGAAGTAAAAATGAAAAGAGCCAAAATGGAATGAAAGAAATTTTTGAGAGGGAGTGCACATGTAAGTGCACATGAGCACACATGCATGCACATGTACGTGTTTGGATATGCATGTGCAAGTACACACACACTCATGTAATTATTTTTAAAGTTAGTTCTCAGATTAAAACAACAGCATACATGTATGTTTTTTTCTTCAACTGTAACCTAAATTATGCTTGCCTGGATTATAATTAAAGATAGAAGCTAGGCGTGGTGGCATATGCCTGTATCCAAGTGGCTCAGGAGGCTGAGGCAGGAGGATCACAAAAGCCAACCTCAGCAACAGTGAGGTGCTAAGCAACTCAGATGAGATCCTGTCTGTAAATAAAATACAAAATAAGGCTGGGCATGTGGCTCAGTAGTGCTCTACCACTGAACTACATCCCCAACCCTCTTTTTCTTTAGAGACAGGGTTTGTTTAAGTTGCTGAGGCTGGCCTTAAACTTGCCCCTGAGTTCAATCCCCAGTACCCCCCAAAAATAAAAATAACTAAAGATAGACAGCAGCCATTTAAAAAAGCCAAAAACCAAAAAACCCAAACAAAAACAAAACAAAACAAAAAAGCCATTCTGTATTATATTCTTCATAATATGAAAAAGCAATTTATTTCCTGATTTCCTATATCCAATAAAAGTTTCATATTTGGAATTCTGATAGCCAAAGTGTGATCTACATTCTAGTTAGTAGTGAGCTGTATTAAGTTAAATAATTAATATAAAGCTGATTAAAAATGAAATTATGAGTAATCCCAGCACCTCAGAAGGTTGAATCAAAAGAATCACAAGTTTGAGACCAGTTTTAGTAACTTAGTGAAACTCTGTCTCAAAATAAAAAATTAAAAGGGGGCTCAGGGTGTAGCTTAGTGGTAGAACACCTCTGACTTCAAGCCCAGTACCTCTAAAAAATAAAAATAAATATAATAAAGGGTAGAATTAAAAACAGATTTTATTTTCTATTCAGAATAATGCCTTCTTCAAACAGAACTGAATATTAATTGTGTGTTATAAATCAATCTTGACTCATATGTGGGATAATTCAAATCTTGTTTCAAATAATATAGTTATAAATCTATGTAAAAGTTAACCCTTAAAAATCAATTGTAAATCATTATATTCTTTTAAGCAAAATGTGTTCTGAGCTTTAGGAAGCAGAATATTTTGTAATGACATAGTTGACTCTGGAAGTTATAACTGATTAAGTTAAAAAACTGATCCAAATGCAAACCATTAAAAATTGGCATACATACTTGAATCTAAATTGGATTCTAAAGTAAGAATGCGTTGTTGTGTTTCCATGTTAAAGATGCTTGTATACCCTTTGCTGAATGATGCTACCATATGGCTCGGGTCACTGCTCACTAGATCAACAGAGGCAGGGATTCCCAATTCTAAAAGAGAACATATTTAGAGAATGGCAATTAAAGAGTTTATTTGACAATGTGCTCAAAATATAGAAAATGTAGCAATATGCTCAAGTAATAGCATGATTTCCTTAAGAAGTACATAAAGTTTACCATTAAAACAAGAACTTTTTCATAGACACTCAACGAACACTATTTCTTCTGCAACTTTCTGCCCTAGTCTCTTATTGTCCTTACCTGTTTTATGTATCTTCTACCTGCTATTCTGCTAATATATTCATGGACTATAAACCTTGATTTAGAAAGCAAATGGAAAACAATTAGGGACTACAAATTTTGCTATTTCCATCTCAATCTGGTACTTAGAGTCACCCAAGGGAAATTCTTTTTTTTTTTTTTAATTTTTTATTGTTGGTTGTTCAAAACATTACATAGTTCTTGACATATCATATTTCTTCATTTAAAAAAATCCATATTGGGCTGGAGGAGTGACTCAGTGGTAGAGTGCTTGTGTAGCTCATGTGAGGCTCTGGCTTGATACCCCAGTACCATCAAAAAAAAAAAAAAAAAAAATTCATCTCTTGTTAGAAATTTTATGTCAGTAAAATTAAGGAGTTAGATAAGAAATAATTTGTTAAAATTCAAAATTCAGGCAACATATCAAAATCTAAAAATAAGTTATGATAACTCAGGAAAAAAATTTTAAATTTACTGTGTAGAATAGTTAAATCTTAGAGCATATTTATAAACATAAAAAATAATACATATAAAATGAATAATCTGATGGCTCAACATCTAATTAAAGCAAGCTAACAGTTCAAAAATAAGTGAACTGCCAAAGATATATGAATGGCCAACTAAGAAACAAAAAAGTGCTCAACATGTTACCAAAGAAATGCAACATTAAAACTAAAAAGTGGGGGGCTGAGGTTGTGGCTCAGTGGTAGAGCACTTGCCTAGTATGTGTGAGGCCCTGGGTTCAATTCTCAGCACCACATAAAGACAAAGGTCCATCAATAACTAATAAAAAATAAAAAAAACTAAAGTGAAATACTACTACATATCCACCAGAATGGCTAAAATTAAATAGACTGAAAACACCTCAAAATGTTGATAAGGCACTACAGCAAATGGAACTCTCACATATTCCAGTCAGTGGGAAAATATTGGCAATTTCACATAAAGTTAAAAAACAAAACAAATAGGTTTGGGGTTGTGGCTCAGTGGTAGAGTGCTCACCTAGCATGCATAAGGCACTGGGTTCAAACCCCAGCACCACATAAATGCAAAATAAGATATTGTGTCCAAATATCTAAAACTAAAAAATAAATACTTAAACAAACAAAAACCCACCTATCCTAAAGCCCACCAATTTTACTTAGAGGTCTCTACCCACCTATAGTGAATGAAAATATATAATGTTCCTAGCAGCTTTGTTCATAATAGGCCCAAAATGAAGCAACCCAAGTATCTATCAACAGATAAATGAACAGACAAAATTATGGCTTAATGAAATACTAATAACAAAGAGAAATAAACTGACACCGAATTGTAGAAACATTCTAGTAAGTAAAAAGCCAGACACTAAAAGGTACATTCTATATTATTTCATTTGTATGAAGTTTTAGAATAGACAATTGTATTCTATTCTCTGACTGGAAGGTCACAGAGGAGCTCTAGGGAAGTGAAAAAAGTGTTCTGTCTTAATAGTGGGAAATGAAGGGTTGTATTTATTTATCAAATGCACTCAAGTGTATCTTTTAAGATCTATATTTTTCACTGTATATACACTGCATCTCAATTTTTAAAAATTTAAAATTAATGTTTTCTCATCAAATATTATATTATGCTTTTAAGAATTACACATAGGTCGGGCATGGTGGCACATGTCTGTAATCCCAGTGGCTCGGGAGGATGGAGGCAGAAGGATCACAGTTCAAAGCCAACCCTGTCTCAAAATAAAATATGAAAAAGGACTGGGGATGTGGCTCGGTGGTTAAGCGCCCCTGGGTTCAATTCCTGGTACCAAAAAAAAAAAAAATTACACATAAATTGGAAATTCAAATGAATATTCTTTTGTTGTTTCAAACAGTATTCATTAAACAGTAAGAGTTCTTAGAATCATTAATTTATTGGCTTATTTTCAGGATAAGATGTTTTTATAAAGGATTTAGAAAAATGTTTTTTAAAATATGTACCTTGATTATCATTAAATACACTTAGTGCAGGAGCCACCTCAGTTGTATTCCACAAACGAAGAGTGCCATCTGCTGAACAGGACAACAAACGCTGATGTGCTGCACTGTATGCCAAACCCCAGACTGCATCTGTGTGGCCTAGCAGAGGACCTCTTAAAACAGAAGGATCTATATAAAATAGCAAAAATACAAATTAGAAGGAAAAGAAATCATAAAGATACTTAGCCTCCAGAAAAAGTAAAATATTTAAACAAAAGCACCTGATCACAGTATAAAATATATTCCTCAGCTTCTATTATTCTTCTCAAATACTGCAGCAATTAAAAACAGGCTTGGAAATATGCAAATGCACAACTTAACATTTCAAAATTAAAATTTAAAAGCACATCATTTTCCTTTTAAGAAAATTAGGGACATCCTTCCCCTTTCCTTTTATCCTTCCATTTGTCTAGATTTTTTTTTTTTTAATTTTGAATTTACCTTTGGAGAAAACACAACTCATACTGTCTGAGGAAGTGACCCCCTCTCTGAATTTCTTAAGCACTATGGCTATACCTCTTTCTGGCCACCTATCGTACAATGACAATTGTTCAAATATTAAATTATCCATACTTGAGAGGAACCAAGACCTATACGAATCCCCAAATCCTTAATTCTCAGAGAGAAATAACTAGGATATGAATAATGTGGGATAATGGGGCAGGGGCAGGAGAATCGTCTCATATCATAGTCTTTTTTTTTTTTTTTTTTTTGGTCATTGATGGACCTTTATTTTATTATTTACATGTGGTTCTGGCAATCGAACCAGTGCCTCACACATGCCAGGCAAGCACTCTGCCACTGAGTCACAACCCCAGCCTTAGCAGTCTTATGATAAAAGTAAAATTGGAAACTATAGTTATTAATTCTGACAAAGATTCTATGAAGTGATGCTTTCAAGATGTCTCACAGAAATGAAGTCTGGAAATGCCAATGGTATTATATTCTCTCTCAGATGTACCATAAAATGTTTATTGAAGACAAACTGTGTGTCAGGCACTATGAGTAATGCTCATGCCACACAATACTACCCTGTCCTCAAAACACTATGTTGGAGGTATAGTGATAGTGACAGATACTAGTTACCACAGAATGTAATTGAGATGAATGTCAACTAGAGTATACAGACGTCAGTCAGTCAGAGAATAGAGGGAAGCCATGCCTGGCAAGGAGGCAGCACATATAAAATCACAGAAGGAAAAAAAAAACTTGATGTGCAAGGAAATTTATGAGCAGTTCAGTATTAATGGAGTGTGGATTATGAAGCAGAAAGTGCATGAGAAGAGGGCAGCTAGTTTATGCTGGGATTTCTATGACATATTAAGAAACTTGGAAATTATCCTGATAGCCGTTAGAGATTCACTGAAGAATTTCCTGGAAGCAGAAGGGGCAGGTAAGTATTAAATAAGGTAACCTTGCCTCTGGTACAGAAGACAGATTGGACAGAATTAGATAAAGCAAAGGAACTGGTTCAGTAAATTGGAAGAGTAATGATAAAGACCTAAGCTAGGGCAGTGGTACAATGGAAGGAGTAAATTCAGAAAATATTTAGGAAGTCATATAAAAAAAAAAAACTAAGTAATTAGTAAGCTGTGGATAGTATGCCAAAGCAAGGAATCAAGGAAAACTTTTAGGTTTCTAGTTTTGATAATTCTGATAATGCCACCAACTAAAAAAAGAAACAAAGACATGCTGAGATATACAGATGAGACAGACACTTTGAAATTTTCTACAGAGATTCTGCAGCTTAAAAAGGATTTGTGAGTCAATAGCATATAAAACCACAGAAGTAGGTTTAATTGCCCAAGGAATGTATATATACTACAAAGAATGATTTAGCATCTGGGTCTTCATAAATGCCAATATTTAAGATGAGAAACAAAAGAAGTTTATGAAGGATAGAGAACAGAAACCATCATAAAAACTATCAAAAAGCCAATGAAATAACAAATTTCCAAAAAAAAAATGGACTTGTTAACATTATTAACCACATCAAAAATACTCTTAGATTGGGCAATTAGCTCACCAACAATCTTGTTATGTTTAAGTGATGTAACTAGAAGACAGAATACAGAAGGATGATGCAAAGGGCAAAGACATGGCATTCGTAACTAGTAATTATATTTTTTAGACAATACCATCAAAAAAATAAGGGAAAGATCTTGTCTGGGATGGGAGATACCTGATATGATGAAGGAAGAGAGAGAAAACAGAGTAAGGCTTAATTAAGAAGACAGAGAAAGAGGAAGTCAAGAGGTTAGAGTGCTGTCAAAAGGAGACACAGAGATTAAAGTACAGTCCCTTCTAGTGTAGAAAGAATAAGGTCAAGAGCAAAATGAGAAGGACTGGCCTAGAATAAAATGGGGAACAGCTGATTCCCTGGGAGAGAGGTAAAGGAGGTAAGGAAAGACATGGAACAGATAAATGTGTAAGAGAACTGCAGGAAGGGAGAGGTTACTTTTCATAAGATATGTTTAATGTTCATTACATAAATGTTGGAGAATATTTTTATTTACTGCATTTATGTTTACCTAGGTTTGTTGGTAAAATTAATTTAAAGCAATAATAAAATTCAAATATACTTTTTTGACAAATGACACTTTAAACCATCCTAGAACTGAACCAAAAACCAAAACAGCCAATTTCTAAACAGTTTCTGCAAGAAAACTGATGATATCTAGTGATGGATTATCATATGGATTTATGACTTATGATACTATTCCTTAGAATAAAGGGCATTTCTAAAGTTTTAAAGTCTTATATATTTTGGTGGCATGGACTTTAAAACTTATTAGCTCCTACATCCCTCCAATAATTTTACCAAGGGGATAATGACAACATTCATTTTACTTCAAAGTCGTTTATCAACAGTGATAAAATATGATTACGGATTAGTAACAATGAATTAAGTACCAGGCAGATGACTAAATGAAGACATCAACTGTCAATCAAGTCAGTATTTCTAATCAGTAAGACCTTGGGAGAATGAAAATTGTTTTCTCATGAAAAATGTTTCTTTCTTCTAGAATTATATATCAAATTGATTCCTAAAGGTAGGAATTTGCATTTTTAACAAAATAAAGACAAACTTCTGTCTTACCTATTATTTTTTTTAAATATCCAATTTTGTCCTTATATATAAACGATGTAAAAATGTTTAAAAGGAAAACATTTTGTTCTTTCAGAACCTTGAAGCACATACCATAAGAGTCATAGGGATCAATGTTGGGATTAGTGGTATTCCAGCCCTGGATCAGTCCGTCAGTACCACCACTATAACACTGCTCACCATTGCTGCTCATTACTACACAAAGCACTGGACCTCTGGGATATAAGTAAATAAACAGGTAAGTACAAACTGCTATTCTTAAAAAAAAAAAAAAAAATCAATTCTAGAGTATAATTTGTTAAAACTACAAATGCATAATTAATTATTCAAATAGATTTCTATTTTTCTGCTTTTTATAATGAATGAAAATACTATCAATACTATTCTTCCTCTGCTAAATCAGAAGTTGGTAAATGATGGTCCTCAGGTCAAATGCTACCAAAACGTTTGTTTGATTTTCAAACAAAACAAATAAAACAAAAATTAAAAACAAACAAATAATACAGATAGTATATAGCCTGCAAAATCTAAAAATATTGATTAAATAATCCCTTATGTAAAAAATATACCAATCTTTGTGCTTCAATGGAAACAAGAAAATATATATGCTTACAATAAAAAACCTGATACACACACATTCTCTCGCTTGCTCTCGCTTGCTCTCTCTCTCTCACACAAACATAATTTAAACATCACACAAATAAAAATCCAGCAAGGATTCTTACTTGGTAGTGATAAATTTGTTTTTAGCATTATATTATCTGTCAGTTTCTTTTATATTCCAAAAACCCACTACTAAATATGAAACTTACATAATAAATACTTAAGTTAAAAAAAAAAAAGCCCTAATCAAGTTGTTTAAAAAATATTGGTTTAGGGGCTGGGATTGTGGCTCAGTGGTAGAGTGCTCGCCTAGTGTGCACGAGGCACTGGATTTAATCCTCAACACCACATAAATGTAAAATAAAGATATTGTGTCCACCTAAAACTAAAAAATAAATTTTAAAAAATATATTGATTTAAAATAAAGAAAAAAAAATACTTACTTATGAGCCCTGAAAGTATAGATAGGCTCTACGTCAAGAGAAGTACTCCTAAATCAGAGAGAGAAGACAAATTCAACTATTTTAAATTTCAGTAGTAGAAAGTATAACTCAATATACATCATAATACTGCTTTTAGAAATACAGACACTATGGTAATACACCATTCTCAGTCACAGGATACATAAAAAACTTCAATCACACTTTCATGTGGTATCAAGCTCCTTGTTTAATAACGCTTTGTTACAATGTTTTTAGCATTACCATAATCTATTTGACTTAAGGGAGAGACTGCTTCACTCAGGGCATTCAACATAGGCTTGGAAGGGCTAGTTCTGTCATTAACTAGTTAACTTAAAATAAGCAATTTTAGTCTTTCGGTGCTTCAGAATCCTTTATATTTAAAATAAGAGAAAAATGGGGGTAGCACCACACTCAAGGATTCTACAAGTTTAAAATAGTCAAGGACTACAACCATGTATAACAGGATTTCAACAAATGATACTTTTAATTTCCTTGTAATTCCGTGAAGGTCTATCCTTGATACCACAGAAATGTCCAAGTCATCAGTTTGCTCATTACTAAGGTACTAAGGATATCACTATGGGTTACACTACACTACCTAACAGGCCAACTGGACTTAAATTCAAGTATTTACCATTTTCTACATTATTTTATAGTACTTTATATAAGCATATATTCACTGTCTTCAAATCATTTCCAAGTTTTAAGTTCAAAAGCAAATGTGTCACTGCTACTTTCATGTGATGTTACTAGGTTATTATCAGCAAGTAACTTGTTTCAATATATTTCTAAATTTCAGTAAAGAATATATAATGAAACATTCACATCTCTTGCTCAATGATTGTTCTAGAACTAAAACTAACACACTGTGACCAAATAACTAAAAAGGCAAGAGGCACAATGTATAAACAGGAAAATAACTAATCCATAAGAAGTTGCATTTGGTTATACCAAGATCGGGCTGACCTATCTGTTACAGACTGATAAATCAAGTGTTTTATCTACCCTATGTATGATTCTCAGCATGATTGCCAATGATCTCCTTTAAACTGGGCAATAGATTTCCTCTCTCATTAATAAAATTTGTATAGCCTCCTTCATTTGATGCTCATTTGCACTTTTAAAAGTGCCCGACACAGCAGAAGGGCCCTTGTTGGCACAAGCTAGCTCGGTACCATGTGATCCAAGGGAGAAAAGAACTCCAATAAGCACTACACCAAAGTGGAATTAAGGCTAGCTTGGGACTTGATAAAAAAAAGTTTATGCTAAATCATGTCTGTTGACACTTAAGAACCAAAGGGTCAATGTAAACACTAGCTGCTAAGTAAAGGCAACAGTGTCTTTCAGTTAGACATATTGGTTGGTATGGAAAATACTTAAAGACTCAAGACTAAAAAATAAGACCAAAGAGAGGTGCCCTACCCCATTAGCCTTTCCTCTCCTCCAACCCATTAAGTCCAAACTTAGTAAACAATGGAGCAGGGTGGAGGTTTCATCATTTTAAACATATCTACCTATACCTGCTTACCAAAACAGTAGAAATTTTCAGTAGAGACATGGGACTTCCCAATTATGACAACCACTACAAAAGGGCTATTATCAGCATTTATAAACTCTGGGGAAACCATAGATGATAAATTTTTTCTTAAACATCAGTTTTCCAACCTAACATGAGATTTATAAAAGGGCAATTATGTGTTGAGGTAAAGAAAACTAGAAGAGATATTTGGGAAACTTAATAGCAAATAATTTAAAAATATTTTCCTGCTAAAAAATGTAACCAAAACATAAAAATAAAGTTAAAGTAGAATATTCTTACTTTTTGGCTGGGGCTGTTTTCTGCAAATTCCACATTTTCAATGTGTGATCCTCTGATGCTGTTATCAAAACAGGTTCAATGGGGTGGAAAGCAAGCGCTCGAATGCCATCAAAATGACTTCTTAATGTAAATTTAGGATTCCAAGTCTTCCTCAGTGCATCTTTATTGTTTGCTATCTATTAAAGAAAGAAAACAAAGACACCTATAGAGTTAGTTAGGGAGGGGGAAAAAAACACTACCTTTAACATTAACTCTTACTGATTTGTTATTAACCATCACAATATGTAACTTTCAAAAAAAACCATAATTTTTAAATGTAAATAACCAAACCAATAGGCGAAATTAACAACATATAAACAATGGATTGCTTTGAAGAAACATGAAACTTGAAATAAAAAAGTTAATTTCATATGAAAATGGATCAAATAATAATGCAAAACAGATCTATACAAATGCTATTGTTCAGATCCTGAATGTCCCGCAAAAGCCTGTAAGTTGAAAGCTTGATGGGCAATTTGTGGCACTATTGGGAGGCAGTGGCACCTTTAGGAAATGGGGCCTAGTGGGAGGAAATTAGGTTATTAGGAGTTTTGCCTTGAAGAAGATATTGGGACCCTGGCTCCTCTTTATTTTCTTTTTACTTCCTCATTGTCAAGAGTTCCCCTCAGGGCTGGAATTATGTCTCAGCTGTAGAGAGCTCGCCTTGCAAGTGCAAGGCCCTGCATTCGATCCTCAGCACCACATAAAAATAAATAATATAAAGGTATTGTGTCCAACTACAACTAAAAAATAAATATTAAAAAAAAGAGTTTCCATCATTATATACTGCCTTACAAGGGGCCCAAAAGCAACCCACCAACTAACCATGGACAGAAACATCTGAAATCACAAGCCAAAATAAACTTTCCTTTCTTATAAGTGGTAATCTCAGGCATTTTGTCACAATGACAGAAAGCTTACTAACACAACTAGGATGATTCTAAAACCAAGTCACTTAAACTAAATTATAATATAAAAAATAAAATTTATGGTAATAGTTGAAAAACTAAGTTATCTATAAACCTGTTAACATTAGAGAGAAGACTAACAAGTTTCACTAGATGCTGGATAGACTCTTTTTGGGGTTAGCAGAGAGGGAACGTAAGTGAGGTTCTACTTCTAGCCATGATGAATTAGGTAATATGGACTATCCCTGTACTAAGGACAAGTAGAAAAGCTGAACTAAATATTAAACAAACAAAAATGAATAACCAACAAAAATGTGAAGAAAAACCCAGCTGTCACGGCGCAAGGGATGAAGGTAGGGGGTTAGTAAGTGAACACAGGACAAGGCCTAAGGAGGTTAGCTCAGTCTGGGGTTATTTTTCCCCAGAAATGTTTACTGATTCCAAAAGGGATGGCTGAGAGACTAAATAGTGCTTCTGATGGGCTCATACTGGCATAGGGATAGGAACTGGTGTCTAGAACCTGTCAAGAGGGGAAACTTCATGAATCACTTTGTTTTTGGTTATGATTTCAAAGGGCTGCATTCTAGAAATAAAGGTGAACAGAAGAAGCTAAGCCCTTGCAGAGACCATACATCGGTTTTCAAACATAAAAAGTAGAGTGGGGCATGGTGGCACATGCCTATAATCCCAGAGGCTCAGGAAGCTGAGGCAGGTGGATCACAAATTCAAATCCAGCCTCAGCAAAAGCAAGGTGAGACCCTGTCTCTAAATAAATACAAAAGAGGGCTAAGGATGTGGTTCAATGGTTGAGTGCCCCTGAGTTCAATCCCTGGAACTCCTACTTCCCCAAAAATTGAACATGTGATTCCAAGTGTCTAATAGCTATAGACATCTGAAAAAAGCAAATTAAAATATATTTATGGAGAAAGACATAATCTTAGGTCTGAAGTTATCTCTATAGTAAAATTTTCAAATGTAGTTATTTGGACATAAAAATAACCATGTACATGAGATAAGGCATATTAAAAAAGTGAAGAAACAACACATAATAGTAATAGAACTATAGTCTCCAACTTTAAAATAGTCATGCTTACTATGTTCAAGATAAAGAAATTTGAAAAAAATTTGCAAATTAATAATAAATTATTGGAGAAATAAAATCTGTAAAACCTCAATAGGTAGGCTTAATTACAGATAAAACATTATTTAATATTTAATATTTAAGAAGAAATGGCTGAGAAATTTACAAAATTAATGACAACACACCAAGCCATGAAGATCTAAGAACCTCAGAAATTTAAATAAGAAGAAAACTAAACCTTGCCTAACAACAGACATGAATGAAATCAGTCAAAGAAATCAGGCTACCATTAAATGATAAATAACAGAAATGATACAGTTGACTTTAGTAAGAAAAAATAAAAATAAAAAGACAATAAAATAATGTTTAAAGTTAAGGAAAAAAACAATAACAACTTCTGCCAACCAGAATTCAATATGAGATAACAGTTAACCCACTCAGGCTAACCAAAGAAATTTAAGAAAAACCAGAAACTAAAAGAATTATATACCCTCATTAAATAGAAGTATTAAAAGTGTTCTTAGGGTGATCCCAGATGGGCAGTGAGACATGCAAGAAATGAAAAAAAAGCAAAATGTAAAATAGATAATCCTAACTGAATATAAAGTATAAAAAACAATGATACCTTATAGAAGATATACATTTAGAAATACATAACAAGAATGATGATAAATAGTGAGGGAGTTAAATAGAGTTAAAGTATTCTAAGGATTTCCTTATTAAAATTTTATTTGTGATTTTATGGTAATCTCTAAAGAAACTATTGAAAGAAAAGCAAAAGCTTGTGTAAACTCTAAATAACAGAGGGTCAGAGGCTTGCAATAATAAAAACATAATCCCTAAGTAGGCAAAATAGAAAGAGAAAACAGAACAGGTGGTAGACAGTAGATTTAAAACCAAATATATCAATTAATTACTTTAAAAAGAAATGGACTGAATGCTCTAATGAAAAGAAAAAGGCTGTCGTGAAAAAAGTAAAAATCAACTAAATGGTGTTTAAAAAAGATAAATGTAAAACATAATATAAAAACACTGGAAACAGAAAACTTTTTTAAAAAAAATTGTATCACATGCGGAGAGGAATGGAAGAAACCTGTTTAGGTTACTGTACTAGTTCTGGGTAAGGAACAAAAAATAGACATGAATGGGAGGTGAAAAGAAATATATAGACTTCAGCTGTGTTTGGAGGTAGAACCCAAAAGACTTACTAATGGAATTAATAAAGAGAGTTCGAGGTTTTGATTTGTAGGAAGAGAAGTGTGTGGTAAGGATTGCTTCTTTATCACCCTGTGGTTTACTTGAGGATCCATTCTACATACCCAGTATTGGCCACAGGGGTCACACTATCTTCTCCAGCAGAGAGAATAAGCTCTCAGTGAAAAGATTTTAATGAAATGGTTAAGACAGTTTATAAATACTTTACCTGTGAAACAAGCAATAATTCTTCTGATAAATTTACTGTGGTGAATGAATATAAATGCATTTATAAAACAACATTTGGAATTAAGTAAATGCATGCACAAACATACAAGGGTTTCAGGTTTGGTTCAAATCTCTGACAGTCAGTCTTCACATCTGGAAGTACACATCACTGACTACCAATAATTAAAATCATATTTCAACAGAATACTGGTTGATGTATTTAAGAAACAAGGCAAATGTTGTTTTAGGTTGGCATATTTCAACTAACCCCTGTTATCCTTCAACTTTTACAAAATAAAACCCAAACCTGTGCAACTCTTTCTCTAACCAAAACCAATATGCAAATCAACTGATTTATGGATTTAGGTAAAGTGTATAATTTTAATCTCTAGATTATTTGGAAAAATACTGGCTTAATTTTATATTTATCTTTTTTCGAAGTTTGCATTTAAAATTGAACCAAGTCTATACTTGTGAAGAAATTTTACAACTGACATTTTTTTCCCCTATAAAATTAAATTTCTATTTTCTAAAACTGAGTAAAAACATCAAAAATAAAACTACTTACATCATAAGCAAGTGAATCTGCTTCATTGGCCACTGTAAGGCCAGCTAATTCTCCAAGTCCTAGTTCACTTTCAAGGGCTTCATCTGCTCCCATGATGAATGACTTCCCAGAAGAAGGAGGAAATGTCAGTGCTTCCACTGAAGTGAGAAGAAAAAGAAACACTAAAAACCTCTATTCTTTCCTTTTCACTATATAGAATAATACTACGATGGAAGGAAAGTAAGTTTCTCCATTCAGTATTTCATGCTAATGTCTCAAATAATTTCTATCAATTACTAAACATATAATAACAATTGGTTCTGAACACTGCTGGTCTCATTAAAAAAAACCTGATATAACCTAGAAGACTACAGATGTTTTCAAGTAAAAATGATTAAAATTGTAAAATGTGCCTATTTGAGGCAAAATTAGTATGTTGGATTACAAGTCAGGATCACTTCTGGGAGGCGGAAAAGGGCTGTGATTAGAAGGGATACAAGCAAGGCATGGATGGCTTGGTAATGTTGTACTTGACCTTGGGGATGGTAGCATGGGTGGGTGATAATTCTGACTTTGTGGTAATTCACTAAGTTATATATACCCTATTATTTAGCACTTTTCTGTGGGTATATTTTATTTCATTTAAATTTTCATTTCAAAGAAATTTTTTAAAGTTCATTTGAACACTTTCACTGCTGCCAACTGTGCTTCAAGATGCAGATTAACTTTGTAATAAACTTGAAAATATTTCCTTTATAACTCTGGGCATAGCAATCCAATTCTTTCAATAACCATAATAGAAGAACCAGTTTTATAAAATGCCAAATTAAAATAGATTTTTATTTGGTCAATAATAAAATGTCACTTCGTAAAGAAAAATTATTCTGACAAACTGCCAGAGATAGTCTTTGAATAGTTTCCTAGAGATGGTTCCTTTACTGATGACAAACATTTACGAGTTAATTAGATGAATTTAGTAGTTCAGTTCAAACTATTTGCTAAAGAGTTAAATTAACTTTTTCTTAAAACAAACAAGTCCGTTTTATTAACTAGTATATGTAGAAAAATATATTTACAAGATGTTTTTCATTATATTCAGTCATATCTAATAATATTTGTTAAATAAAATTGTGTTTTTAAAGCAGTCACAGATATTCTACATAAAATTCTTGTCAGAACAAAAAAAAAAGATGTTATCAAGCCAATATACAATATAGCGGCAATAATAAAAATTGGATTTTACCTGAAATATCATACATCACTGAGGGATCCAAACAACTCTAACACAGAGTGGAGACTGTTTAAGTGAGAATAGTAGTTTACATGCCAAAAATTCAAAAAAATGACTCATATGAGACTATGAGGCTGTCTCCAACCAAGTTTTTGTTTTGTTTTCATCTCTAATCTTTCCAGATAACTTTGTTCAGATGAAATAAAACAACTCCAAAAAATTTCTAAGATTCCTGGGATTGACCATACACATTGTGTGAGCTAATTTTAACTAATGCTCTCAATTTAGTTAAGTAAAACCTGAACAAGGCAACATTGATTTCCTCACATACCAGTAGCCAGACACTGGACCTATGGACTGAAGACACAGCAATATGGCATAACTGTTATTTGATTATTCTCTATGGCCTCAGAACTTGAAGGACTACAGGCCACAATTCTTTCTTTTTTTAAATATGTATGTGTGTGTGTGTGTGTGTATATATATATGTATATATATATATTTATATATATATATAAATATTGTGTGTATATTTATATGTATATACACACATACATATAAATATTTTAGTAGGGGATTGACCTTTTAAAAAAATTATTTATTTATGTGCAGTGCTGAAAATCAAACCCAGTACCTCACACATGCTAGGCAAGCGCTCTATTACTGAACTACAACCCCAGCCCCTATTAATTACTTACTTTAAAAAGAAATCTGTGGCCCCTATAGGCCACAAACATTACTAATTAGATTTTATAAAATTATTTAACATGCCTCTTAAACATGACACTAGCCTCATGACTAAAGCTAGATGCAGTGGTGCATGCCTGCAATCCCAGTGAGTCAGGAAGCTAAGGCAAGAAGATCACAAGTTCAAAAACAGCTTCAGCAATTCAGGGAGGCCCTAAGTAACTTAGTGAGACTCTTGTTTCAAAATTAAAAAAATCTAAAATAAAAAAGGGGACATAGCTCATGGTAAAGCACCCCTACGTTCAATTTCCAGTACTGTCAAATAGATAGATAAAAAGTAAAAAATCATAGTGTATACAAAGACTACAGAAGCTTCTTCTGAAAGTGGATGGGAGGCCAAGAAGCATCAGTCATAAGCAATTGAACACACATCTCTTTTGTGTGTGTGTGTGTGTGCTGGAGATTAAACCCAGGGCCTGTACATGATTGGCAAGTGCTTTACCACTCAGCTATGTCCCCAGACCTCAAAGAACTATATTTATATACCCCAGGATTATACTGTAAAATAAAAATGGAAACAATCTAAATATTCAAAAGGAAATGGCTTCATCTCATCTAAAATATAATATAGAGTATTATAGTTTGAAATTATTTGTATTTTTATGTTAAGTATAAAACAAACTAGAATTATTCTATATAATAACTATATAAAAAGTGAACCAGGACTGAAAGAGAACAAGGAAACATGAAAAGAGAAATATGAAAAGAGAAAATGTGACAAGGCTTTCAGGTGACTTTTTGTCCTTTTTGTTTATCATTATACTCAATAAAATATTTATGAGTCTCAAAGTAAACATTCACTACCTATTTTTTTGACTCCATTTTCTCAGTGTTGGAATGGTATATAAAGGGCCTTTCTTACGTGTCTGTGAAGCTGGAGGATATTCTAAACCAGAATTTAGGGTGGGTTTTTAAATTATGCACTCTTTCCTAAACTCCAAAGATAGAAGTTAAAATCAACATCCCTTGAATGTAAGAAAGCTTGTATTTGGTGAACATTATATAGATCAAAAAGTAAAGTTCCAAGATAGGACAATCTTTTATAATGACTAAATTTAGAGATATATGTCCAAGTGCTTTCTTTGCTCCAGAGTGTCTCAAGTACTTGCCTTCATCTGCCCTATTAATTTCGTGCTCAGGAAGCCTGGAGCTGCTAGGTCTGGAAGGTGAACCCACAGATGGCTGCAATGAAGGAAGTTCATCAACATCTCTCAAATTAGCAAGCATATCTTGTAGTTTTGACCTATTGGGCCCTAGCCAAAAAAAAAGGGTAGGGACACAAAAAAGAGGGAACAGAATTATCGAACTGCCATCAAAATGGTACCACAAAACTTATTTCACATCTGCCAACATTTACCTTTAGAAACATCTTCATAGATTAATAAGAAGCAATTATTTTCAAAGTTTTCATTTTATCCTAAAAGTTTGTCTTGAAAAACAATTATATTTAACATATATTTTATAAATTAAACTAACAAATATTATTTCCATAAAAAAAAAGAATGCTTATGTCCTATGTAGACATTAAAACTCACAGTACTCTATACTTGAACCATTTAACAGTGCTCTAAATGAAGACAGATTCCAAAGACTGTGAGCCTACTATGTACCCAATTAAACAATAAAACCCCTGTGTATAAATTAAGGTGCATTCACTGCCTTGCATCCTGAAGCTATGACACCCAAGGTGAAGTCTCATTCCCTGCAGATTACTTACCTGAGCTTTGATTCTTCCTTCTCCCACATCCCTGTTTTGACTGTTTTATATAGGATAGAGGCTGAAACAGATCTTCGGTAGTTTTTCCTGTTATAAGTTTAATTAAGAATGGGAAAATCTTACCCATAGTCTGTTATGGTTTTCCCCTATACCAGCAAAGAATACAACTATTTCTAAGAAATTTTAACTAATACCTAGAAATATATTTCAAGACAGTAGGTCTGAAGTACACAATTTGACTGGAAATATTTCCACTAGACTAATTAAAAGGACTCAGATTTTTTCCAGTGGGTAATGTTTCAATTAAAAATATTTATAGAAGTTTATAAATTAGTGTTACATATACCAATTCAAAGCTTTGCTTCAATTCTTTTTCTAATCATAAATCTTCAGTTTGTTACCACATTGCTATTTTATCAAGACAACATGAACTAAAAATGAAAAATAGAAACTGCCAATGAAAGACATTAAAATTTCTCCCCAGAGTCATTTTTCTTCATTATACAAAAAAAAAAAAAATGCTATATTCCTGAATATGGATCATTATCCCAAAATGAAGAAATCCAATTGCTTCTGTTAGTCGGAATACTGTTCCAGTCAAATGATGCACTTTTATATTTCACGTGCTCAATTCTGACTAGAGTGACACCTTGATATTGTAAAAAGAACTAAATAATCAATGTAAGAATAGATGAATTCTATTTAAATTCTGTCTACCTTTCCAATCTGAAGATCTTTATGGATATTCATTTTTATAGTATAAAAACCTAAGAAAATATATCAATATACAGTATAGACATTTTCCTCAAAATTTCAGTTTGCCTGGTTTGGCCATGGCTTCAAAAAGGAATGTAAAATTATGTCTCATTATGTTTGTTAATTTTTTATCAGTATATTTGAATAAAGGGCACAGAATGTTCTTATGTTTTATATTAATATCATTCTGATTTTATCTATGTTACATAACATTAAATTATATCATCTCTCATTATAAAATTGTTGAGACTATGCTAATATCAATAGTGGACACTAACCTTTTTAAAAATTAAGCTGAACAATGGTAAATTCAAAGATCCTTTAAAATAAAGACTTAAATGTTTTTAAGTAACTACTAGGTTGTAAAAGGATATCTTAATAGGGATGACTGGTCTTTGATAAGCTTTAACATCAGTAAAAAGTGGGGGAGGACATCCCTCTAGTCCTTTGCAATTTATAAAAATATATTACTCATTAAGTTTAAATTTCAACCTCTATTTACACTACTTTCATATCTCAAAGGATGAAATTCCCATTCCGACAGAAGAGAGATCCATGATCATATTGTCAATGAGGGTAGTAGCACAAGGAAGTTTTTAGTCTTGCCCTCCTAAAAACATAATTCAGATTGTTTTTAGGGATGTTTTGAAAGTTTTGGTATTTCCATTTTCATACTTAACTAGCTCTATTTCTAACTTTTCATTTGCATAGCAAGTTATATGATTCACAGGGCTAGAAATTTCATTTTGGCTTGTTTTTGATGTGGCACAGAATTTATTGAAAAGAAAAAAAAGGCAATTGGTAATATTGCTATAAATTAAATTGGCCCAAACTTTTTAATTAGAAAACAAATACTTTTTAAAGTTGTGTATTTGACTCTGTGCCCTGTATAGCATATTTTGGTGAGAGTAAATGAACTGTGTTGTGAACACAAAGAATATTCAGGGGTAGAAATTAATTTCTTTTTGTTCCTAAGATCTAAAATTATAAGCAGTAATTACAGTGGTTTGCCAGTGAGGTATACTAGATGAGATTTATAAATTGCCACTGGAAATAAACATCATTACAATGAAGCATACATACTTTTTTTTCTGGTACTGGGGATTGAACTCAGGAGCACTTGGCCACTGAACCACATCCCCAGCCCTATTTTGGATTCTATTCAGAGACAGGGTCTCACTGAGTTGCTTTGCTTAGTGCCTCGCTTTTGCTGAAACTGGCTTTGAACTCGCAATCCTCCTGCTTCAGCCTCCCGAGCTGCTGGGATTATAGGTGTGTGCCACCACAACTGGCTAAGCATACATACTTTTAAAAATCAATTTATCATCGTGTTTGAATACATAGCCCAACACTCTCACGATGCTCTAAATTTGTTATTGGGATATACTGTGATTCCATGATCATGATTTTAAGTTCATAATCAAATAGCTAACAATTTAATTTCAACCCCTGAGAGCAGGTGAAAAGGAAAGAAGTAAGGAGCAAAAAAGAAAAAGAGTAAGTAGTTTTAGGAAAACATTGGAGGAAAAAAAAAACTTGGGAGATGTAAAAGAGGCAAGATTTATTATTTATAAATACAATGTTTTCCACTTACTCTTCACCCCCTTTTTCCCCTTTCTCTCCTTTTTGTATTGTTCCTTGAGTTTGGTAATTACTCCCTGGTCCACATTCCAGGCTTCGGGCATGAGACACTGGTCCTCCTTTTCTAGAGGAAAACAAATGAAACAGCCTTTTTCAATAAAATATTGAACACTGTAAATCAATATGTCTGAAAGACACAACGATTTTCTTCATAGCATCACTAGCTAAAATAAAGTCATTATTTATTCATCAGATATTTAAGTTGCACAAAATACAGTAGCTAAGAAATAACAATCAAATCGATTTCCTAATTAACAAACTTCCCTTGAAAGAGACATCAAGAACCTCTCATTTTTCATTCCATTTTCTAAATGCCATTAGGAATGACTGGAAAAAAAAAACAACCACTTAATATTTACTTATGTGAGAAGAGACAATTACTGAGATTGTACAAAATAGTATTCAATGATCGTTTCCCTTTAAGAGTTTTATACTTTTGGCATGTGTTCATCAACAAATGATGATTTTTATTTTATTGGCCTTATAAGTAGATTTTTATAAAACTTATTAAGTAGCCTTCATTCAAAATGCAAAATAATTTAAATGACATGATTATTTATAAATTCCAAAAACAGGAAACTCAGAACTTCTGGTAAATAAAAAAATTAATCATTATTTCAGGAGAAGACTATTTAAAGAGTAAATATGTTACTGGTCATGGTGGTGCATGCCTGTAACCCTAGCAGCTGAGAAGGCTGAGGCAAGAGGATTGCAATTTCAAAGCCAGCCTTAGCAAAAGTGAGGCACTTAGCAACTCAGTGAGACCCTGTTTCTAAATAAAATACAAAATATGATTGGGGATGTGGCTCAGTGGTCAAGTGCCCCTGAGTTCAATCTCTGGTACCAAAAAAAAAAAAAGAGTAAATATTTATATACTTATACTTACCATGTAAAACAATTTGTGTGTTATATAATACTATTGGAAATGTTAGCATAGAACTCTAATTTGAATCCATGACACATATAACCAACTGTTCACTCTACTTGTCAACTGGGAAATCGAACAGACATCTCAAACTAAATGGGCAAAACCAAACTCCCAATCTCCTCTACTCAACCAATCTGTTCTATCCACAGGCTCTCTATTTCATCTGATAGCAATTTCATACTTGTATTTGTTCAGATCAAAACCCTTTCCTCCCTCTTCATATCAAATATTTCACTTTCTCTACATTCAAAACATAAGCAGAATCTGATTTCTCAACACATCTACAACTTCTCTGGCCACTCTGATCTCTTGCTAGAATTACTGCAAAAATTATTACCCTTCACCACATAAGACAATTATCAACAGTTTTCTGGATAGTCTATCTGAAGCATAATAAAGCTTTAAAAGTCAGATTATGTCACCCTTCTACTCATATCCTTCTCATAGCAGCATTTGACATAATCCTATATAAAATGGTCATTTATTACTACAATCCCTCTGCTTCAGACACTCTGGCTCCCTTGAATTCCTTAAGCATGACAGGTATGTTGCTATCTTATGGCACTTACTCTCTACTTTCTTCTCCCTCAGATGCCACTTGGCCAAATCCCTCATCACAATTTTAAGTCTTTTGCTCAAAAGGCTTACCATAGCTACCCTATTTTAAACTGTAAGTTGCTCTTACCATCCCATCCAATCCCAATTCTTCCTATATCCCTGACCTTGTTCTACTTTTTCTATTTTCCATAGCATTTATCACCCTCTGACATTCAATATCATTTGTTATGTTTATTGCTTACTGCCTAGATCCTTTTACTAAGCTGCGAGCACCATGGGGGTTAAGAATCTTCTAGAAAACCTGGTACATAGACAGCATTTGTTCAATATTTGTTGAATGAATTTTGAAATTATTTGAAATGAATCAGAATAAATAGAAATCTATTTTTAACAACTTTCAATCTAGTCTAGAAAACTGTTTTTTGGACCTTTGAATATAACACTATTAACAACAATTTTACATCAACATTTCTAAATATGTAACTATAATCTAAAAACAGAAGGAATAAACTTTATTTTTCAAGAAAAACCTAACAATTAAAATTTTTACTTTCTCTAATCTGGCAGTAATAATAAATTTAACTGCATGGGTTTTGAATTCTGGAAGGTCTTTAGTCTATTAAAGCAAAAATTTAGCACTATCATAACCTTCATAGACTCATTACAACAGCACTAGAAGATCATGGAAGATGTTAGTATAATTTATCTATTTACTTGCCAGAAACTAATCAGATTCTTAACCTAAGTACAACTCTTTTTTAAGGGGGTGGAGTAGAAGAGAGGATGGCGTGAGCACTTAAAATGGTTTAAATGTCCACTCAACTAGACAAGATTTACAGTATAGTTCTGTTAGTTTGTTCAAAGTTCAGTACTTTGAATTAAATTATAAAATTCTTTTTTAGTGTGTGTGTTGGGGGGTATTTACTGGGGATTGAACCCAGCAGCGCTTTATCACTGAGCCACATCCCCAGCCCTTTTTATTTTTTATTTAGAGACAAAGTCTTGCTGAGTTGCTAAGGGCCTCAATAAATTATTGAGACTGGTCTTGAACTTCTGATCTTTCTACCTCAGCCTCCTGAGTTGCTGGGATTACAGGCACGAAGCGCCACTGAATATGGCTAAATTAAAAAAATTCTTAAAATGCACAGGGCCAAACTACTATAAAAGAAACCTCCAGTGAACTGAGAGCTTTCATTTGCTCACTGAAAATTCCAATCAAAGTAAAATAATAGTAACTTGTTTAATTCCTCAATAGGAAAAATCACTTAAAAATTCAGCAAACACCTCTAACATTACAATGGTTTCTGAGAAGTAAGGAGAGTTAAAGGCTACCTTGAATGCTGAAGAAAAACACTCAGATAATATCTAACTCTTCCAGATCTTGCCCTATTGAGTTTATTAGCAATTTACAGAGAAAAAACATTCTTTTCTTTGAGATCACAAGGAATTTTCATTGCAGTGTTTCAGATGGAAAAATAGGTTTCAAAAATATTTTTTGTTTATTAAAAATGTTAGACAACCTTTTTCCCTGAACTTACCCAACTTGTTCACTCTACTTGTCCATTGGGAAATGGACAAGTCTTCTTATCAGTTCCTATATAAAGATGACACAAGTGTAAAGAAGGAAAATTCCAAACAAAATTTTTAACACAAGTTTAAAAAGGAAAAAATATTTTTTTCCATTTTGGCTTTAGAACATTTTTATGTTTCCTTTAGAAAAGCAATGTATTAAAAATTTGGGTTTATATTAATATTTTTAATGTTTATACCTAAAAATGTAACAAAAATTTTCATTTTAAGCAAAAATACTAAACAACATTTGAACATATGTAATATCTGTGTTCCAGTATTAAGATGTATATTCTAGTTCTTGAAGGTACATTGAAATCAGTATTTAAAGTAGCTGTTTGAATGGAAGTAAATGAAAAGTTCATAATGTGGTGTATATACATCTAAAAACATATAATCCTTCAAAACAATTTAATTACTTTAATTTTTATGGACAAAGTATTAACTTAAAGGGAAAAAAATATATTTCAAATAAGAAACCATTGGTTTGTCTTTTAAGAAAACTGAGTAAAGAAGTTTTTATAAAGATAAACTTAAATATTAAAATAATAGGCAACTTTATAGTCCCTCAATAAAGAAACACTTGTCCAAATATTAGACCTTCCCTCTTTTTCTTTCTTACATAGATATATATAAGGAATTAATCATTTTTGAAGATTTAATCATATCCTACCTTAATAAAAATTTACTTCCATACTACTACAATGACCTATGCTAAAGAAGTTTCCTCCAAATATTTGTTTTAACTCTTGTTAAGAGGTTTATTAAATTCATCTAGAGTAATTTGAGGGGAAAAAAAACACTATTCCTATACACACTGTCAAAATCTGACTTAGAATGAGAGACTACAATTTTCTACGTTCTACTTCTTTGTTGCACAAAAGATACTAGAAATGAGATCTTCAAAATCCTCTAGTTAAAAATTTCATGCTAAGTTTCCACAAAATGCAGATTTGTAGTTTCTACTGTCTAGGCAAAAAATAAATATTCTACATTTGAGTTCAAATTATTTTCATAGAGTATTGCTTATTCTAAAAGAAAAAAAAAAGATAAGGCAACTTGTTATACAACTTTCTTTAAACACACACTCCCTGAATAAATGGCAACAGTAGTTAAAAATCTCACTGGATGTTCAACATTTCAACATCATAGCTCTTCAAGATGTGGCCCTCATGGTAAAATATTAATTTCTTTTATTTACTTAAATCTCTGGTTGGAGGCAGTATGCTTCCCCTTACCCCAGTCTGTTCCATCGCCTGCACTTCTAGATTCACTGTCTCCTTCCTCTGATGAAACCAAGAAGTCAAACTGCTTCAGAGCTTCTTTTGTATCTCGGTCTTCACTGCTATCAGGCAATGCTTTTTTTCTAACAATCTAATGAAAAAACATGCTAAATTAAAATATGGATATATTTATGAATTTTTATATTTAATTTAAATAAAGGAGACAGTATCCTTTGGCCACTGAATAAGAAATGTTATTCAATTATTTTCTTCAGAAAGTATGTCTTTGTTGTATTAAACTGTACTACCTAACCCAGTGAAAAACACAGATATCATGTTTAAAGGTATACATCATGTATCTTAAAGCAATAATTTAAACTTTGTTCAATGGTATGACGGCTTGTTTTAAATAAACAGAAACCTACTGAAGTCACTGGCATATTAGACACACATTTAAATTGCAGATAGTTGGAAGGCTGAGGTAGGAGGATGACAAGTTTGAGGCCAGCCTCAGCAACTTAGCAAGACCCTTTCTCAAAACAAAAAATAGAACGGTCTGGGGATTTAGATCAGTGATAAAGTGCCCCTGGGTTCAGTACCAACAAAACAAAACTAAGATTCAACTGCAAATATGACAGGGGTTAGGTTTCACTTTTATATATTTAGAAGTATATATGGAATTACAAGTTCAGTTAGAGGGTTAAAACTTGAGACTAATGCATGCAGACATGATTTCTGAGACCAGCATGTCTATACTCTTCATGAATTATCTCCTTTTTGGTTACCTCAACCAACATGAGCCCTAAGAAATTAGGATAATGGGTCTGCAGCTTCTTTCCATAAAATATCACAATATCTCAATTTTCCAGACTTTAGCTTTCTTGTTTCATGCAAAACAGAAATAGCATGATCTAATCAAACTTCACCCCTGGAATCTTTTGAGTGGTATAAAATTGTAAAGTTTCAGTAGACAGATCAATAGGACAGCCTAGTGAGTCCAGAAATAGACCTTAAGAATTAGCAAACACACACCTGACTTGTATGGCCCTGTTCCCACTCTCATATGTGGAATCACTTATCAATCACAGCAATTTACAGCAGAGATGAGATACAGCCTCAGAAAGCCATCTTATAAAGTACTCCAGGAAGCCACTACCAAAAGAATAAAACTGACCTCACATATAAAAACAATCTGTCTTAACTGATCTGGTATATATAAAAACTGAACAGAAGAAATAAAGATTATTTAATGATGCTAGAATAATTGGCTGAACTATTTAAAATATTTCCTTAGTTGAATTTACTGAACTATTTTGATTAAAGAAATGACACATTTTAAAAACATTTTTTCTATTAACATTTTAATAGGATAATTTTTGGCCATTCTGTTTGTCTATATTACATACAATATATTTTCTAAGAACATGCTTATTCACTGTTACAAAGCTTGATTTTTAAAATGCTTGTCAAGTGAAACTTAGTGTAATATAATGTAAAAATTACCAAAACTGTTAAAATCAGTTATTTGAAAAAAAATTTTTTTCCTGAAATACTAAAAAACTTTTTTAGTCTAGTATTTCAAAGGGGATAAGTCTCTTTACATTAGATGTACCTTCATTGCTTGATTACAGAACTGTTATGATCTTTACCAACTGGAAGACAGAACATTTATGAATTTGATTACTTAAAAACAAAACAACAAAAAAACCCAGCTGGGCACAGTGGCGCACACCTGTGATTCCATCGGCTCAGAAGGCTGAGGCAAGAGGATCACAAGTTCAAAGCTAGCCTCAGTAATTTAGCTAGGCCCTAAGTAGCTTTTAGCAAGACCCTGTCTCAAAATAAAAAATAACAAGGGCTGGGGATGTGGCTCCGTAGTTACACATTTCTGGGTTCAATCCCTGGTATCAAAACAAACAAACAACATAAAACCCCCAAATGGTTAGGAATTAGGAAATTAAACAGGTTGTTTTTTAGAAATTTCTAGGCTGATAATTCAAAACAGTTTTAATAATTTGTTTATAGATTTTAAATATTTAAGTTGATATAATCACTAACAGCATCATAGTTATTTACCACTTAGCTATAAATAAGGTATTTTGATAGGAAACCAATATTTCAATGTAATTATCTCATAGGAATCATAAGAAGTTACATAACTTTCAGATGATCAGGGTAGAAAAAAATGTCACAGAAGCTTAGGCTTTTTTACTACAGTAAATTAAGACACAAGTTATTACTATTCATTTGGATAAGAAAATGTTTGAGTGACTATTCAAAGTTCCAATAATATCCATGGCAGGACTATATCAGTAGAGCACTCCTTCATAGTGGCCCAGGGAAACAATAATCTGGCAGTAATCCATCTGAGAGCACCTGATGGAGCTCAGGAAGCAGAGGGCATTAAAAAAAAAAAGTTACACTTTATAGTTAAAGCTATCATTTATATATAGTGTCTCCTTTGTTTCTCATTAAATCTTCTGGGTATTCATTATAGTTTTCATTTTTATAAACTATAAAAACTAAGCCTGAAACATTAAAAAGCATAATTAAGTGGCAGACCTGGGACTTAAACTCAAGCATTTTAACACTTAGCCTGATTCCTATTTCTTTACTTTCTCATTCTTATTTTAAATAAATGTGAAAGAGGAAATTTAAACATTTTTGTAAACAAAGTAAAACATGTCCTCATCTCCTTCTTAGAAATGAAGGAGGAGAAAGAAAAAGAAGGAGAAGTAGAGGAAAAAGTAATGGGGATAGTAGGAAAAGGTGAAGAGAGAGGAAAGGAGGAATGATAATGAGAGGGGGAAAACATGGAGATGGAAAGAGAAGTAAGAAATAGCAATTTAGAGACAACTTTTATTCCAGGAAATTGCTAGGAAAAAGTCAATCAACTAATAAAGACCTGAAAAAATTACAGAAATCCTTTGCCTATAGTTTTAGAAGTCTGTAGGCCTGACCTACCAAAGCAACTCACAAGAGAGACAAAAACTGCATCAGAGCTGATGTTAGGCACCATAATGGATTATATGCCAGTTCTATTGTTTTATAGCAGCCAATTACATTGTAATAAGATTGTAACACTAGACTGCTATAACACATTTATCATTTTATTTTTTTTAAATATTTTATTTTTTAGTTGTAGTTGGACACAATATCTTTATTTATTTATTTTTATGTGGTGCTGAGGATCGAATCCAGGACCTCACATGTGCTAGGCAGGTGCTCTACCACTGAGCCACAATCTCAGCCCATATCATTTTCATTATATTCATCAGCTCTATAAAATGTTGTTATATTCAATAAGTTAATAAAAATTCAAGTGAGGGTTTTTAAGGCAAAGCTATAATATTAAAAGCATTCTTGAATTTGAAATCTATACCAAACCTCTTTCCAATTTCTCACAAAAAAAAGTAAAGGGTTTATATTAAAGAGCATGATTTTTTTTTTTTTTGTGTGTGTGTGTGTGTGTGTGTGTGTGTGTGATGGTGCTGGGGATTGAACCCAGGGCTTTTTCTATGCTAGGCAAGCACTCTACCAACTGAGCTATATCCCTAACCCCACATGAATTATTTTTAAAGTAAACATAGTCCTTAAAATATATATTATCTGAGTTTATTTAACTCACTGTTGAAGTATCAATGACACTTTTCTCTCTTCCCTCAATATCATCATCTTCATCTTCATCACTGAAATCAGCAGCTGCACTTTCAAGGAATTTGAAATTATCCAGCACAGAAGCAGAATCTGTTAACTCAGATTTTCTGGTTTAAAACACAAATAATCATGCTCAGTTACTCTTTTTAACCTCAACATAAAATCAACTCATGATAAGTTTTACTAACTTATATTTATATTATATTATATTATGAGTCTCAAATGACATTGATTCTCATCTATTACAATTCTATGGATTTAGAAAGCAATATAAGAAGTGGCTATTCTTTTAAAAGTACTTTATAATCATAAACTTTTTTTTGTACCTGGGATCGAACCTAGGGGCACTTAACCATTGAGTCACGTTCACAGCCCTTTTTTAATTTTTTATTTGGAGACAGGATCTTACTAAGATGCTGAGACTGGCCTTGAACTTGTGATTCTCCTGTCTCAGCCTCCTGAGTCGCTGGTATTACAGTGCCAACACACCTGGCTCAATTATCTTAATGGCTAGGATTGTGCCTCACATGGTGGTACACAATTTTAATTCTAGCAATTCGGGAGGCTGAGAAAGAAAATCACAAGTTTGAGGCCAGTCTCAAGAAGGAAGGCCCTAAGCAACTTAGCAAGAACCTGTATCAAAATAAAAAGGACTGCAGACATAGATCAGTGTATAAGAGCACTCTAATACCAAATGAACAAAAAAAAAATTAGTGATAATCTACTAAAAAGAACTCCCTCTCAAGATTCAGATTACTTTGATCCTTATATCAACCTTAATGTATTTTTGAAAATATTTCTCTCATTATCTCTGCCTCCTTTTTATCCCTATGTATCTTTCTGCAACTCTTCAATTAACTTCTTACATGAGTTTTTATAACTAAGTAACTAATAAATATGTCATTTTTCTCTGATGCAATCTTTTGTTAAACAGCTAGCTAAGGAGGTAAAAAGAGCAAATGTACAAATAAAGTTATTGAAAACAATATACTAGTCAAATTGATATTATTGTAAGATTTGACTCTGCCAATGAATAAACCAAGAATCTTTTAGAAATGACTAAATTTTCAAATATAAGGCTTGAACATAGCTCCCTCAAAATAAATTTAGTTAACACTTTCCTAAGGGCCACAACAGAATGATTTCTCTCTAGTTCATCAGAAAATGTTTTAGATGAGAAGGCATTTTCGGGGGAAGGGGGGGATGGACTATAGTCACAACTATAGGCAAATTTTAAAAAATAGCTAAATCTTCAATTTCAAATCTGCTGAGAGCTATGATTTTGATTTTTTCCTCCTTTTCTCTTTGTCTACAGAAATCTGACAAATTCAGACTAACATCCTTTTCAGTTTAAAAGAGAGGTAAACACAAAATAGACAATGGAGTCATCTCTTCTAAAAGTCATTACTGAAGGTTTTGTAAAAGTATGCATTACCATCCCTAAAAATATTTATATTACCTAAGTTAACTTAATGACTTGGGTTAATGTAAAAGGTAAAAACAAAACCAGGAATGATACCTATATGATCTATATCTACAGGGAAAAAATATATACTTTCATTTGTAAATACAAGTTAATACATTCTTTTTTTAAACTTTATTTATTTATTTATTTATTTGTGGTGCTAAGGATTGAACCCAGGACCTTGCATGTGCGAGGCAAGCGCTCTACCACTGAGCAACAATCCCAGTCCCAATACATTCTTAATTATTAATGAACACTTTTAAGAAGGTTCCAAAGACTTTTTTAAATAAAATTCCTACCTTGTATCTTTACCTAATCTTATAATTTTAGTTTATATTCTAAATAACAGGAAATATGTTCTCATTAGAAAATTTATAGCATTCAATTAAAACCATTCTACTAGCCTAAATATGGGTTAAAATGTAATACCATCGTAATTAAGACTTTCAGAGAATCTTAGGCTTTTTATTCAACTAAGAATCATTGCAGGGGCTAGGGTTGTGGCTCAGCGGTACAGTGCTCCCCTAGCATGTGTGAAGCACTGGGTTTGAGCCTCAGCACAAAATAAAAATAAATAAGTAAAAAAAAAATAATAATAATAATAGTTTTTAAAAAAAGAAAAAATCATAGCAAATTTTTTTCCCAATAAAGAACGATTACTTTATTGAACTGTTAGTGTTCATTTAACTAGAATTATATACAACTGTATAATAATAATATGTTCAATAAGAAAAATATTTCAAATTATTAAATTTTTCAATCTAACAATATGTATATTTAAAGTAGATATTTTACATAAAAGAAAAGATGAGTTACAGAATTACTACATAAACAAAAGTGGTTAAAAAGGTTTCTTCTAAAGAATTGTGAGGTATTTTTATGATTTCTGGGTCACTTATAATGAAATTCCATTCTTATAGATTAGCACTGCATTTCAAATCAAAATATTTTATGAGGTTCTAATAGTAGTTGACTGAGCTTCAAGATATTAAAAAATCTTATATTAAATAAAATTTAAGCAAATAAAATACCCTAAATATGAAATTACATTCTTGAACTAAATAGTCTCAAATGCTAACTTCAACCCCTGTGTTGCCTTCTAACCAAATGAAACTTTAACTTATTTCCAAATCCCACCTAAAAGTAATATTTCAAAATCAAAAATATTAAATATGAACTAAGTTACAACTAAAATACTTTCCAGACAAAATACTTACCCAATCATTGCTGTTTCTTTAACTTCAGCCTCTGTGCCATTTATAACTGAATCCTGATTTTTGTCATCTTCCCTGTCAGTGATATCACTTGAAAAGCCCAGCAAAGCTCGTACTCGTTTAGATTTCACATCTAGAATAGTATCTGTGTAACCCACCTCCTGAAGATACCTGTGTGAAGAGGATCCTTACAATTCAGTCATATAGGAATCAGTATTCTAAAATTTAATGTGTAAATAAAAGCAATTCTTCTAATACACTGCCTACATAAGATCTAGGAGCACTATGCTAGTTAAGACTTGTCAATAATATTCCAGCTGCAGATGGAGCTGTCTCCTGCAGTACCAGCCTCTACAGTCACTGAGAAAAATCAACTATACAATACACCATTCATTACATTTATACTACGCAGAAACTGTTCCTCAATATTTCATAGCACATTCTTTCCACTGGATCAGAGCGAGTTCACTACCAAATTCTACCAAATTACTATTTTATAACAGTGATTGCAACGTTTTAATATTTCAAATGTAAATTGTCATGGATCAACTGTTTTTTTTAAAATATATTTTTAGTTGTAGATGGACACAATACTTCATTTAGTTTATTTAGTTTTATGTGGTGCTGGGGATCACACATACTAGGCAAGTGCTCTACCACTGTGCTACAACCTCAGCCCCAGATCAATTGTTTGAGATCTAGAGAGAATGTTTTCAGTACATATGGTTTCCTCCACATCATATAAGAATATAGTATTTTCCCAAAAGTCACTTCTGTAGAACAGAAAAATCTATGCTTAAGTAACTCAAAAATAAAAAATAAACCACAATTAAATTGTGGGATAGAGGGTATGTATGTGAATTCGTGCATGTTGCAGAAAGGCAGCAGCACAGAAAAAAAGAGCACAGGCTTTCTAGTGAGAGTTAGACCTAGGTCTTACATCTATTTCTATCACTTATTTGCCCTATAACTTTAATTTTCCCAAACCTGAGTTTTCTTTCCTTAAAAACAGACACAACTAATACTGTCTCTGGCATACAGACAGCACTTGAATACCTATTTTTTTAAATTCTTTTTAGTTATAGTTGGACACAACCCCTTTATTTTATTTGTTTATTTTTTCTTAATGTGGTGCTGAGGATCGAACCCAGGCCTCACATGTGCTAGGCGAACTTTCTACCGCTGACCACAACCCCAGCCCTTGAATAACTATTTAACACCAATGTTAATCAAAAAAGACCAAATGGCAGGGACAGGACCATGGAAAGGGCAAATGCCATTAATAAACAATAGAAAAATATTAGGCATTAATATATGTTGATATGGAGTCTACTAGACAAAAGAAAACAAAGGTTGACAAGATAGTTTAAGTTCAGTTTATTTGAAGATTTAGTTTCAAAAGTTGTTAGCGCAGAAAGATCTCACAAAGATGGGCTGGGGATGTGGCTCAAGCGGTAGCGCGCTCGCCTGGCATGCGTGCGGCCCAGGTTCGATACTCAGCACCACATACCAACAAAGATGTTGTGTCCACCGAGAACTAAAAATAAATAAATTAAAAAAAAAAAAAGGAAGATCTCACAAAGATATGTGATCAAATGGAATAAGTGTATCTTACCAAACCAAGATGCTCATTTTTCAATCCTAATGAATATATATAGAAAGTTTTGATTAAAATAATAAACTTCCAACTTTCCTGAATTTAATCAGTTGTTCTTACAGACTACTACAAAAATGTATTTTTCTATTTTTAGCAATAATATTTGATGTGTACCTCACTTTGGCAACAAAACCACATAGCCATAAGTAAACAGGCTAATAGTTACTTTGTAACTGATAAAATGTCACCCTTTTCTAAGATGATTATAGGTCTTTTTAAGGTTTTAAAAATATATCTTGGATACATCATTATGAAATCACTTTTAAAAAAAAATCAGCATTTTAAGAAAACTTGCCTATTTTAAAAATCAAAATACCTAAGTCATACTTCAGACCAAAGTGAGGACACTAATAAAAATTCACTTAAATATTAGTAAGGATTCATTGTCTTCTAATTTTGTCTAAATAAACAATAAATATGAAGAGATGATGTAACATTATCTTCCTTAAGTCAAAAGAAATAGCTAGCATTCATTCACTTTGGAAGCAAACCCAAAAGTCTCAAACAGGCAGCATATTTCATTTTACCTTGGCATAAAATTTGAATACCAGTTTCAAAGGTGGTATACAAGGACCAGGCACTGAGATGGTGTAGTCTACTACTTGAAACCAAAACCTTAACTGAACTATTTCCTCTGTATAGTCTCAGATATACATTTTACAGGAGAAAGCTTATGCTATGCAGAATTTTCAAAATCTCAGAATTTAAGCTCAACAAATTACTTAAAATTTTTTAAATTAACAAAAAAATACATGCAAATACTCATTAGACCTATATTGATATATGTATATGCTTGCACAGATGATGCAGTAAGAAAAATAAGGGCAAAAAATTCTTTAAATTATATAAAATCTATTCCCAGGGAAGAGTGCTGTGGTACATGCCTGTAATTGCAGCAACTCAGGAAAATGAGGCAGGAGGATCAAAAGTTTGAGGCCAGTCTCTACAATTTAGCAAGAACCTGTCTCAAAATAAAAAATGGCTAGAAATGTAGCTCAGTGCTAATGCATCCCTGCGTTCAATTCCCCCGTACCACAAAACAAAAACAAAAAGGGGAAAAGTGTTTAATATGAAAATTAAACAGTAATTCAATTAAGCTTTTTCAAAGCAGTAATAAAATAAGAAATCAACTGATTCTTTTGAATTGAAAATACAAAAGGAAAACAATCTCATGAAAATAATGTTTCTCATCCTCGATTATTGATAAGATTGGCCATGAGATACTTACTGTCTGAGTAGTTGTCGACCTTGCTTCCACATTAACTGGCTGTTCTGTTGTGGCTGCACCTCTGTTTCATTACCTTCATCTGAAATACATTGTCATAATAAAACTGATTTGTTTTACATATTAGAGGGCATCTCAATTAATAAATATCCAGTAAACATTTATGTATGTTTTAGGACAATTAAAATGTTTTTAACTGGGTGTAGTGGTGCATGCCTGTAATCCCAGTGGCTCAGGAGGCTGAGGCAGGAGGATCACAAATTCAAAGCCAGCCTCAGCAACAGTGAGGCACTAAGCAACTCAGTGAGACCCTGTCTTTAAATAAAATATAAAACAGGGCTGGGGATTTTGCTCAGTGGTTGAGTGCCCCTGAGTTCAATCTCCAGTACACCCACTCCAAAAAAGTTTTGAATTCGAATTTCCATAACAAAACTCTAACACATATTAATTAATGCTACTGGATTCCCTTTAGAGTAGTAGAATATAAAGACATTTTCACTTTTAGCTAGACTGAGAATTTTGCTCTAGAACCAAGACCTATCCAATCAAGTCATACACAGTGAGAGTCAAATACAAGTATTAGGTATCACATTATAACCAGAACAAACTATTTAGAAATGAGACCAAAAATCTAATTTTATAAAGAGCAGATATACTAAGAAATAACCTCAACCCAAATATGTTTGCTTTGCAAGTTATTAAATGAAAATTTCAAGTATTCTTTCAAAAACATTCTTTGAATTTTAAACCTCTTTTAACTTTTGAAGCTTAAATTCATCATTATGTACAAGCTGAATCCTTTCAGAAGAATTAATAAAAAGAATTTCTCTATGAGAAACCTAAACCAAAAAGTTCCGCACTAGACTATGGTTCAACTTTCACAATATTAAAAAAAATCATATTTTTTAAATCAGTCCTTCATCAAATGAAGAAATTGCTAGTCTTTATAAAATCTTTTTCAAGAGGAGACACAAGAGGGAACAAGAAATTGTTTCATATTTTCTAAAATTAAGCATTTAGTGCATACTTATTGTGTTCCCAAAGCTATGTTAAAATACATATACATCATCTCTTTCCTTATTGATTGATTGATTGATTGATTGACTGGTACTGGGGATTGAATCCAGGGGTACTCTACCACTGAGCTATGTCCCCAGCCCCTTTTATTTTTAAATTTTTGGACAGGGTCTTGCTATGTTTGCACTCCTCCTGCCTCAGTCTCTTGAGTAGCTGGGAATATAAGCATGTGCCACTAGCCCAGCTCCTTCTCTTTCAATTCTTACAAATTAAAAAAATTCATGTTTATCCCTATCTTAAAGATGAAAAGCTAAGTTTTAGAGAATAATTTTCAGGTTCCTTGGAAACACAGTTGTAAGTGTAAAAAATCCTTCCTGACTCCCTCTAGAGATCCACCACTTTCCTCCATGTATTATTACAACAATGATAAAAAACTGGAGAAATGTGAATAAAAGTAAGAATCATATCTTGTGTTTTGTTTTCTCCTAAAATAACTCAGGAGAGTTCTGTAGAATTTTAAAGAAATAGTAACAGAGTGGACTGGAGGTGAGTGTGGAGGAAAGAAATTAACTTAACTCCAAAAGAAAGATTACTTTGGGATAACTTCAAAGAGGATTTACTGCCTGTGTGTGTGTGTGTGTGTGTGTGTGTGTGTTGCAGGGGAGGGCAAAAATAATGTCCCAATACTTTATGAAAAAATGATATGGGAGTAGGGGGAATGCTGGAAAATGATATTAGACAAATTATACTGTTATATTGTGAGCATGTATAAATATGTAACAACAAATTCCCATCATTATGCACAAATACAATGAACCAACTAAAAATGTGGAAAGAAAAAAATTAGGAGGAGATAGCGACGCAGGGATACAGCTCTGCAGTTTCTGCCAGCCGTGCAAGCACCGTACTCAGGGCTGAATTCTGGGTTCGAGACGGGGGAAGGAAGCGGTCCATCTTGGTTCTCCACACCGGTCAGACCACAAAGGAGACCAGCAGCCACCATGTTGGAAAGCTGACGTCACCATACCTGTTTTCGACTGACCGCAGCTCATTCAGCCATAGAACAGGTAATTTCAGGCTGCCATTCGCCTGCGGCTTGCAGACAGATTGCTAGGGTTCAGTGCCTGGGTGCTTCTTAGAACCTGATCTTATCGGAGCGAACACCGAGCGCGGGGCGGCCGAGTTCCGGCTCCCGGAACCGTCCCGGAACCGCCCTGGCCCAGGGCTGCGGAGCCTGCGGAGGCTGCTTCTTGGACCCTGCTCCTATCAGAGCATACACCAAGCACTAAGCGGCCGAATTCCGGCTCCCGGAACTGAGCCCGCGGGGACTGCTTCTTGGAGCCTACACTTATAGGAGCTTACACCGAGCACGGAGCAGTTCCGGCTCCCGGAACTTCCCTGGACCGGGGCTAGGAGCCCGCGGAAACTGTGTCTCGGTCCGGGTCCTGCTGAGGGCAGGTCAGGACTCACCCATTGCTTGGGTTGCCTGGCAAGGGGAACGAAATGCTGCCATTCGCATAGGATACCAACATGGCAGAGATCTGATGTCAGCAGAAAGCGGTGGAGGAGAGATCTTCATCAATACCAGCGGTGACATAAGCAGTTGGTCTCCTGGTAAGGGGGGTGAGGCTCAGTCACCCGAGTCTCCTCAATTTGTCCTCGAGCCAGAGGGAAGGAGCCGGGCCGCCGCCAGCCCCCGGAGCAGGCCCAGCGGCTCGCCAGCGTGGTGACCGCGTGACCCCAATTGGAGAGGGGGCGGAGCGGAGCCGCCACCCACACCCGCCAGGTGGGCAGACCCACGACCCAGTAGTACATGGGCGTGGTAGGAGGGGCAGGGCAGAGCCGCCCTTCGCGCTTGCAAGGTAAACAGACCTGTGACAGCCTGGCGGGTCAGGCCCAGTGGCCTGCCAGTGTGGTACACACGTCACCCCAACTCGAGTAGGGGCAGAGCAGATCCTTCTCCCACGCCCGGAACAGGCCCTGCCGGTGTGGTGGTCACATGACCCCAATTGGAGTGGGGGCGGAGCGGAACCGCCACCCGTGCCCGCAGGGTGAGCAGACCTGTGACCAATCTGCAGATCAGGCCCAGGGGTCCGCAGGCGTGGTAGGAGGGGCAGGGCAGATCCGCCGCCCGCGCCTCCAAGGTAGGCAGACCTACAACAGACCGGCGGATCAGGCCCAGGAGCCTGCAGGCGTGGTACACACACCACCCTAATTGGAGTAGGGGCAGAGCAGAGTCGCCGCCCGTGCCAGGAACAGGCCCAGCGTCCTGCAGGCGGGGTAGTCACGACACCCCAATTGGAGTAGGGGCAGAGCAGAGCCTCCACCTGTGCCCGAAAGGTGGGCAGATCTGCGACCGACCAGCGGGACAGGCCCAGTGGCCTGCCGGTACGACAGACACGTCACCCCATTTGGAGTAGGGGCAGAGTAGAGCCGCCGCCCGCGCCTGCAGGGTAGGCAAACCTGCAACCGACCGGCGGATCAGGCCCGGTGGCCTGCCGGCGTGGTACACTTGTCACCCCAATTGGAGTACGGGCAGAACAGAGCCGCCGCCAGCGCCCAGAACAGGCCCAGTGACCTGCCGGCGTGGTAGCCACGACACCCCAATTGGAATAAGGAGAGAGCAGAGCCGCCGCCCGCACCTGCAGGAAAGATACGCAAGCAGTATGAAAAGACAAGGAAAGAAAGGACCACAAGCAATGCAGGTCAACGCAACTTTAGAACAGGTAACAGCTGCAGCAGATGGAATGTCAGATAAAGAATTCAGGATATACATGCTTCAGATGATCTGGAGTATCAAGGAAGACATTAAACACCAAAATCAGACAATGAAAGATCACTTCGACAATGAATTACGCAAACAAATCCAGGAAGCAAAGGATCAACTATACAGGGAGATAGAGGTTATAAAAAACAAACAAACAGAAATCCTAGAAATGCAGGAAGCAATAAACCAACTTAAAAACTCAATGGAGAATACTACCAGCAGAGTAGAACACTTAGAAGATAGAACATCAGACAATGAAGACAAAGTATTTCAACTGGAAAAGAACATAGACAGCTCAGCAAGACTGTTAAGAAACCATGAGCAGAACATCCAAGAAATATGGGATAACATTAAGAGACCAAACTTAAAGAGTCATTGGGATACAGGAAGGTACAGAGCTCCAAACCAAAGGAATGAGCAGTCTATTCAATGAAATAATACGAGAAAACTTCCCAGACTTGAAGAATGAGACAGAATCCCAAATCCTAGAAGCCTACAGGACGCCGAATGTGCAAAATCATAAGAGATCCACACCTAGACACATTATAATGAAGATGCCCAACATACAGAATAAGGAGAGAATTCTAAAAGCTACAAGAGAAAGGAAGCAGATTACATTTAGGGGTAAGCCAATCAGGATAACAGCTGATCTTTCAACACAGACTCTGAAAGCTAGAAGATCCTGGAATAACATATTTCAAACACTGAAAGAAAATGGGTTCCAACCAAGAATTGTGTATCCAGCGAAATTAAGCTTCAGGATGGAGGATGAAATTAAAACCTTCCACGATAAACAAAAGTTTAAAGAATTCGCAGCTAGAAAACCATCTCTTCAAAACATCCTCGCCAAAGCATTACAGGAAGAGGAAATGGAAAATAACAATGAAAACCAACAGTGGGAGGTAGGACAGTAAAGGGGGGGGGGAAATAATCAAAGAGGAAAACAAACCATGTTTAGTAACAGAAATAAACAAATATGGCTGGAAGAACAACCCATATCTCAATAATAACCCTAAATGTTAATGGCTTAAACTCACCAATTAAGAGACACAGGCTAGTAGAATGGATCACAAAACAAGACCCAACAATATGCTGCCTACAGGAGACGCATTTGATAGGAAAAGACATACATAGGCTGAAGGTGAAAGGTTGGGAAAAATCATATCACTCATATGGAATTCGGAAACAAGCAGGAGTGTCCATACTCATATCAAATAAAATAGATTTCAAGCCAAAGTTAATCAAAAGGGATAAAGAGGGACACTACATACTGCTTAAGGGAACCATACACCAACAAG